ATTAAGACACAGCCAGTTCATCTTTCCAACTTCAGACAACTTCATTATACTTCGAAAGGGACAAGCCCTCAAACTTTGACAAATATCAGCACTAATTTGACCACTAAACTACATGACCCCTAATTGTGATGGAAGGTTAATATTAATTATCTGCCTAGCTAAAGTAGACTATCAATTTAAACCACATTTGTAAATTGTGTGATAATATTAGGGAGATTAAATTTTTAAATCAAATTTGTAAACGAAATGATGTGTCACCAATAAAAAATAAGCATGTAGTCGACACTTAATTAAAAATTCAATCATCAACATGTAACAACCACATCATTTGGTTTACACAATTTGATTTAAAAGTTTGGTCTTCCTAGTATTACCCGTAAATTATGTGATGTGTCATCAACAAAAAATAATTAAGTTAATCAATACTTAAGTAATACCTGCATAAATTGTAATTATGGTTAAAAAAAAGGTGTTGCATAAAAATCACTTGCGAGTATATTTTTTTCCCTTGATAAACTGGTTGTGAAAAGAGCCTTACATAATTTTGATTTTATTTATTTATTTATTATTATTTCTTTAGATGGTTTAATATGCTAAATTTGGACAGTTGACAACAATTTCATTTGTTTCCAAACATTTTATTACCACGATCACATTGCTAATCACTCTCCCTGATTTAAGTAATTTTGTCTACGTAAGTATGGAGTCCAAAAAGTGGCTAAAGTATTCTTAAAATTGACAGTGACTGAAATATTGTAAACAATTTATACAGTCCCCGCTTGGTATAATTAGTACTTTCAACACTCTTCCTGGCCACTCTAATTCTCCAACATCGGTCAGTTTGTTCAAACAATTTCTAACCATATATGCTCTCCGATCCCCTCAATTTGGCATGGATCCAATGGAGTCACATAATTCCATGGGACAAAACAAAGTAGTGTAGCCGGTTTGGCACACATAGTTGTATGGTACTGATGAATGTTTACCTACTTCGAATAGAAGAAGTCGGGAATTGAATAGGATCCACTACCTTATTCTAATCAATCTAATTCTTGATTTTCTTTAGATATTGAAATACGGACTGTAATGTGGAGATCACTACACGTATTCTGTACGTATGTGGAAGTCATGATTCGTAATAATTCCAGTGACTACGATCTATGCAAGTATTGAAAGTCCGAAATCCAGTTGATGATCACTATACCTAAAAAAGTTTGATGTAAGGAACTCAGTTGCCAAAATTGTTTAGCCTACTGATATTTCCTGTCCCTCTAAGTAATTGTAGGACGAGTTAAGGATTCAAGTTACTAGAAAGAAATTCAGCTTAAAATGCAAAATCAAGCAGAGCTATTGGGTTCTTAGTTCATACCTTTAGCAGGTGGCAGTGGCACTGCTGCTGTATTGTTTATGGCCGCTGTTCTGGCGGCGGAATAAGTCCGGGGCTCGGAAGTTTGATTTGGGCAGTGACAAACACCCTTTGAACCAACACACTCGTCACATTTTCCACTATTCACCTTATACTTCACCTCAAACCCTTCTCTCACTGCAGCTTCAAGTGCCGTCACATTCAGTATACTGATTATTCTGAAACCTGTAGGATCACTAATCCGAACAACTTTTGACTCACAAATCGGAGTGCCCGGGACAGCTGCAGGTACTGCAGCCACATTCGCGTAAGTTTCGTTGTCGGGGCACTTGAAACCTTCAGCTAGTGAGCTCGAAGCACAATCATAGAGTAACGTGAAGTCCGAAGAACCGGAAACATAGTCGAAAAGATTGGAATCGAGTTTGGTGTCCCCAAACTTCGGTGAACAAATTTTGTCATAGTAGTCATCTCTCACAACTTTGAGTGTCTGCTCACCTTGGTTAATCTTCAACAATCTGTATTTGACCCTCATAATCTCAATGGTGGTAACATCATTCGAGCATGCGAGCTTCAGTTCCGGATAGCCACAATTGTCCGGCCTTCCATCTCCCCAAAAGGGAAATCCCACTTTTGTGATGCCTCCACAGTTAAACGTATTGCTACAAGTTGTGTACGAATCGAAGCTTGAGGACAAAGGAATGCTGATGAGAACAAAGAAGGCGAAATGGGATGAGTAAGAAGGCCAGGAAATCATATTTGGGGGAAGAGAGTGTTTGATAGAAATGAAATGAATAGAGTTTGGGAGTTGTGGTTGGAGGTGGGGCGACACTTACAAGGAAGGAACTAGAGATGAGCTAGTGACGTTATGGGAAAAGCTTGTTCAAAACTGGCGTCACTAGCTCATCTCTAGTTCCTTCCTTGTAAGTGTCGCCCCACCTCCAACCACAACTCCCAAACTCTATTCATTTCATTTCTATCAAACACTTTCTTCCCCCAAATATGAATTCCTGGCCTTCTTACTCATCCCATTTCGCCTTCTTTGTTCTCATCAGCATTCCTTTTTCCTCAAGCTTCGATTCGTATTTAGTATCGTAATTTGTCCCATAATCAAACTATATTTAGTATTGTAATTTGTCCCATAAGCTTCTCACTTACGGGACAAATGTGACGAGTGTCTTGGTTCAAAGGGTGTTTGTGGTTGGAATTGTATACCTATTAGATTTCTTTTTCCTCAGGCTAACTATATTTAGTATTGTATTCACCATTTAGAAGAGTCCAACATAATATTTCTGACTTACACGTAGAGTAAAATGAAACAACGATAATTGAGTATTGAATAGTCAAACGAAGATAATCAACTATTGAATCGTTGTGTGGAATGGTTCGTGTGGTTTTGTTGACTTGATAAAAAGTGTCATTTAATGCAAGGCAAATATTCTTCACCTCTGCGTGTGATTTTATCGTTTGGGGTTATCTGGAGAAATAATTTTTATGTGTGAGGGAACACCACGTGGCATGGTTTTTCCGGCACACCTAAAAATTTCTCGGGTTATCTGCTACAAGTCAAGCCAAAATAATTAAGTACAAGCGTTTTCCAACAAGCAAAAAGACACAGCTTTTAATGGCCTCACAAATTACATCGCGTCGGTTCTTCCAACTCCCACCAATCTGATCACGTACGGCCTTACAAGGGTAGTTGGCTCTTAATTAGAAGATATTTAGGTGGTATTTAGGAGGTATGTTGTCCTTCTTTTTATTTGTTATTTTTTATTTTAGAAATATTGGTAAAAATTAACTCACACCAAAGTGTAGGAATATTATTATTTCCCGTCACCTTCTTTTGATCACACTCACCACAAATATCATTAAGCATAACTTGAAAAAAAAAGCTAAAATTTGAAGAAAATAACTCATATGGAGCAGATTTACAAATCCTAGCAAACACAACCCAAATTCACATAGATCCATCATTGTCAGGAGCACATATATTTAACTGAAAAGTATAAACATGTATCAAATGAAAAGTAAAAAGTAAAAACTAGCTTCATAATTCGAAAATATTTTGTATTACGATTTTCTAACCAACTTAACTTATGAAATCAAAAGCATTCACAAAGACTCGTTTCGGGCTTGGACACTATACATCAGATGCAATTGAAAGAGAAAATAAGAAAATTGCTACTTATCTTTTAAGACGAATGGTATAGAAAGGAAAGTGAGAACGTGACATTTTGGGGTTCGTCGCGTGTTGACCAAATCTTTATCACTTGGAAGTGGTTCTTGCTCAGTTGCTAGGGTTTTGTTTTCACATTACCTCCTTCAAAATTGTGGTCCGCTCCTCTGAATTTTGTAAGTGTAAATTTTGGGCTTTGATGCTACATTTGATACAAAAGACAAACCTTTGGGCCTTCTTTCGGCAAACAAACACCAAACTTTTAGGTTTATAAAAAATAAAGTTGTCACTTAACACTATGATCTAGTAGTATTCTTCTTCAATTGTAACTGAGAGGTTTTAGTTTTGATTCTCGCAAAAGGCGAGTTTGAACCATATTATTGCTAGCACATTGTCAGGCTAAGCTTACCCCCGCTCCCTAGTGTAGATAATATAGTTTGTTCAAAAAAAAAAAAAAAAAAAAAAAAAGAGTTTCTCCAGTACACATCACCAAATACCAATACCTAAGAAGCACTAGTTCGGCAAACTTGTGCCGAACTCCAGTCACAAGTAACTTGGAGTGGCACCAATACGGCTAAAAAATGGAGCGGAGCGGCTTGGAATGGCTCGGATTCTCCAGATTTAGTTGACGCATGACTGAGTAATTAGCAATGGCGACCTCACTCGCGATCAAGAAGGCCCTTGACTAAGGGGCAGTTTGGGATTCCTATGATTTAAGAATAATCAATTGAAGGTTAAAACATTTGAGCTTTTGATAAATTATATTTTTAGAGAGTATAAAATTAATGTAAAAACATTTGGTAAATTTTAAAATAAGTGATATAATCGTATATAATGACAAAAATAGGTATAATATGAGGTGGTGCCAACAATAACTATGGTTGCGACATTGGTTGGATTGATAGTGGTGGTTGTGGTAAAGGTGTTGGCAATGGCGGTGGCAATGTTGGTGGTGCTGATTTTGCTAGTCGTATAAGGTTGGTGGCTGCAATTGTAGGTGGTAGACTCGAAGGACGTGATGGTGCCCCGGGGGGGGGGGGGGTGCCGGAGGTGGGGGGTCGCGGTTGTTATGAAATTGGCAACGGTGAGTATCAATAGTGGGGTGTGGTGGTTGGGGTGCAAAAGTGACAATGGTGGTAAGGGTGGTGACAATAGAGATTGTAGTTGCAGTTGTAGCGTTTATGGTGGCGGCTGCGGGAACGATGGTGGTATTGAAAGTCATGATTCGTAATAATTCCAGTGACTACGATCTATGCAAGTATTGAAAGTCCGAAATCCAGTCGATGATCACTATACCTAAAAAAGTTTGATGTAAGGAACTCAGTTGCCAAAATTGTTTAGCCTACTGATATTTCCTTTCCCTCTGATTAATTGTAGGACGAGTTAAGGATTCAAGTTACTAGAAAGAAATTCAGCTTAAAATGCAAAATCAAGCAGAGCTATTGGGTTCTTAGTTCATACCTTTAGCAGGTGGCAGTGGCACTGCTGCTGGATTGTTTATGGCCGCTGTTCTGGCGGCGGAACAAGTCCGGGGCTCGGAAGTTTGATTTGGGCAGTGACAAACAGTCTCATTCAAATTCCAATCATAACCACAAACACCCTTTGAACCAACACACTCGTCACATTTTCCACTATCCACCTTATACTTCACCTCAAACCCTTCTTTCACTGCAGCTTCAAGTACCTTCACGTTCAGTATACTGATTATTCCGAAACCTGTAGGATCACTAATCCGAACAACTTTTGACTTACAAATCGGAGTGCCCGGGAAAACTTCAGGTACTGCAGCCACATTCGCGTATGTTTCGTTGTCGGGGCACTTGAAACCTTCAGCTAGTGAGCTAGAAGCACAATCATAGAGTAACGTGAAGTCCGAAGAACCGGAAACATAGTCGAAAAGATTGGAATCGAGTTTGGTGTCCCCAAACTTCGGTGAACAAATTTTGTCATAGTAGTCATCTCGCACAACTTTGAGTGTCTGCTCATCTTGGTTAATCTTCAACAATCTGTATTTGACCCTCATAATCTCAATGGTGGTAACATCATTCGAGCATGCGAGCTTCAGTTCCGGATAGCCACAATTGTCCGGCCTTCCATCTCCCCAAAAGGGAAATCCCACTTTTGTGATGCCTCCACAGTTAAACGTTTTGCTACAAGTTGTGTACGAATCGAAGCCTGAGGACAAAGGAATGCTGATGAGAACAAAGAAGGCGAAATGGGATGAGTAAGAAGGCCAGGAACTCATATTTGGGGGAAGAGAGTGTTTGATAGAAATGAAATGAATAGAGTTTGGGAGTTGTGGTTGGAGGTGGGGCGACACTTACAAGGAAGGAACTAGAGATGGGCTAGTGACGTTATGGGAAAAGCTTGTTCAAAGATGGGGATTATGGGACAAATTATGAGTACTTCATGAGGTTTTGTTGACTTATTCTTTTTTAAATACTTTATATACAATCGAGAGTTCTAGAGTTCAAAGGGTGTTATTAATTATGGGTATTCACCATTCACGAATCGAAGCTTATGGGACACGAACCATTCTACACAACGATTCAATAGTTGATTATCTTGGTTTGACTATTCAATACCAAATTATCGTTGTTTCATTTCACTCTACATGTAAGTTAGAAGTATTATGTTCGACTCTCCTGAATGATGAATACGATACTAAATATAGCTAGCCTATTGTGTATCTTAATTAGCCGAACTCTAGAACTCTCGATTGTATATAAAGTATTTAAAATAGAATTAGTCAACAAAACCTCATGAACTACTCATAATTTGTCCCATAATCCCCATCTTTGAATAAGCTTTTCCCATAACGTCACTAGCTCATCTCTAGTTCCTTCCTTGTAGGTGTCGCCCCACCTCCAACCACAACTCCCAAACTCTATTCATTTCATTTCTATCAAACACTTTCTTCCCCCAAATATGAATTCCTGGCCTTCTTACTCATCCCATTTCGCCTTCTTTGTTCTCATCAACATTCCTTTTTCCTCAAGCTTCGATTCGTATTTAGTATCGTAATTTGTCCCATAATCAAACTATATTTAGTATTGTAATTTGTCCCATAATCAAACTATATTTAGTATTGTAATTTGTCCCATAAGCTTCTCACTTACCGGACAAATGTGACGAGTGTCTTGGTTCAAAGGGTGTTTGTGGTTGGAATCGTATAGCTATTAGATTCCTTTTTCCTCAGGCTAACTATATTTAGTATTGTATTCACCATTTAGGAGAGTCCAACATAATACTTCTGACTTACACGTAGAGTAAAATGAAACAACGATAATTTGGTATTGGATAGTCAAACCAAGATAATCAACTATTGAATCGTTGTGTAGAATGGCTCGTGTGGTTTTGTTGACTTGATAAAAAGTGTCATTTAATGCAAGGCAAATATTCTTCACCTCTGCGTGTGATTTTATCGTTTGGGGTTATCTGCTACAAGTCAAGCCAAAATAATTAAGTACAAGCGTTTCCCAACAAGCAAAAAGACAGATTTTAATGGCCTCACAAATTACATCGCGTCGGTTCATCCAACTCCCATCAACCTGATCACAGACGGCCTTGCAAGGGTAGTTGGCTCTTAATTAGAAGATATTTAGGTGGTATTTAAGAGGTGTGTTGTCCTTCTTTTTATTTGTTATTTTTTATTTTAGAAATATTGGTAAAAATTAACTCATACCAAAGTGTAGAAATATTATTATTTCCCGTCACTTTCTTTTGATCACACTCACCACAAATATCATTAAGCATAACGTGAAATAAAAGCTAAAATTTGAAGAAAATAACTCATATGGAGCAGATCTACAAATCCTAGCAAACACAACCCAAATTCACATAGATCCACCATTGTCAGGAGCACGTATATTTAACTGAAAAGTATAAACATGTATCAAACGAAAACTAAAAAGTAAAAACTCTAGCTACATAATTCTAAAATATTTTGTATTACGATTTTCTAACCAACTTAACTTGTGAAATTAAAAGCATTCACAAAGACTAGTTCGGGCTTGGACACTATACAGCAGATGCAATTGAAAGAGAAAATAAGAAAATTGCTACTTATCTTTTAAGACGAATGGTATAGAAAGGAAAGTGAGAACGTGACATTTTGGGGTTCGTCGCTTGTTGACCAAATCTTTATCACTTGGAAGTGGTTCTTGCTCAGTTGATAGGGTTTTGTTTTCACATTACCTCCTTCAAAATTGTGGTCCGCTCCTCTGAATTTTTTTAGTGTAAATTTTGGGCTTTGACGCTACATTTGATACAAAAGACAAACCTTTGGGCCTTCTTTCGGCAAACAAACAACAAACTTTTAGGTTTATAAAAAATGAAGTTGTCACTTAATACTACGATTTAGTAGTATTGTTCTTCAATTGTAAGTGAGAGGTTTTAGTTTTGATTCTCGCTAAAGGCGAATTTGAACCACATTATTGCTAGCACATTGTCAGGCTAAACTCACCCCCGCTCCCTAGTGTAGATAATATAGTTTGTTCAAAAAAATAAAAAAGAGTTTCTCCAGTACACATCACCAAATACCAATACCTAAGAAGCAGTAGTTCGGCAAACTGGTGCTGAACTCCAGTCACAAGCAACTTGGAGTGGCTCCAATACGGCTAAAAAATGGAGCGGAGCGGCTTGGAATGGCTCGGATTCTCCAGATTTAGTTGACGCATGACTGAGTAATTAGCAGTGGCGACCTCACTCGCGATGAAGGCGGCCCTTGACTAAGGGGCAGTTTGGGATTCCTGTGATTTAAGAATAATCAATTGAAGGTTAAAACATTTGAGCTTTTGATAAATTATATTTTTAAAGAGTATAAAATCAATGTAAAAATATTTGGTATATTTTAAAATAAGTGATATAATCGTATATAATGACAAAAATAGGTATGATATGAGGTGGTGCCAACAATAACTATGGTTGCGACATTGGTTGGATTGATAGTGGTGGTTGTGGTAAAGGTGTTGGCAATGGTGGTGGCAATGTTGGTGGTGCTGATGTTGCTAGTGGTATGAGGTTGGTGGTTGCAGTTGTAGGTGGTTGCAGTTGTAGTTGGTAGACTCGAAGGACATGATGGTGGCGATGGGGGTGACGGTTGTTATGAAAGTGGCAACGGTGGGTATCAATAGTGAGGTGTGGTGGTTGGGGTGCAGAAGTGACAATGGTGGTAAGGGTGGTGACAATAGAGATTGTGGTTGTAGTTGTAGCGTTTATGGTGGCGGTTGCGGGAACGATGGTGGGAATGGCAATGGTGGATGTTGTTGTTATTGTGGTGGTGGTTGCGGTTATGGCTAAAGTGGTGGTGACGATTGTGGCAAAAGTGATGGTGCCAATGATGGTGGTGTAAGGTTAGTGGTAGGTAGTAGCGACCATTTTTTTTTAACTAATGAATTGAAAATATTCACTAAAGGCTCAACTTCGTTGATTATAAAAGCAGCTTTTAAAAGTAACTTACAGTTACTTTTAACTGATGTCTGAAGACCATTGTTTTTAAAATAAATTAGAAAATTATAATCTTTTTATGTTAGGGCAAACTAGTCTTTTTCACATCAAAATTTAGACAGAGGTGCTCAATATACTGGGGTTTGCAGACTTGCACTTGTATGCACAGAAGTTAAATATTTTTATTTCACATTCAATTGAGAAAACGTTTCTCAAAGGGTTGATATTGACATATTTTCATGTGTAAACAACAGAAAACAAGAGAAACAAGTAAAAAGGAGACTAAGACATGAACCCATCACCCAATTAAGTACTAGATGTCAAGAAAAGATAATTTTTAGACATCTAGTACGAACATGACGTTTAACCAGAGGCATAATTTTATTTAGACATCTAGTACGAGGAACTTCGCAGCTTTCTAAAATAATTTTTAGATGACAAGAAAAGATAATTAACCGTGCGAATTATGTTGTTTGTATTAGGAGCCATTGTCAAATATCATCCTACTTTAAATCTAGCGAAATGCTAAAGAAATTCTCTCAAAAGTAAGATTTTTAATGAACTTTCTGCGACATTCTAGTTTAACATAAATTCTCATACTAACATTAATAAAATATTTTGGCAAAAACATAAGGTGATAGAAAGTTCATGAAGAGTCTCACTTTTGAAAAAATCTCCTTAATATTTCTCTTAAATCTATCCCCGACACATACCACACTAATAAAAAAAAGAACTAATTTACCCTATCGAACCCCAAAAATAATAAAACACGAAAAAAAAAACAAATACAAAAAAATTATGCAAATAGTATAATGCATTCTCTTGATTAATGGATGCAAATTATATCACATAATCACAATTCTTGTGTTAATATTGCTGAGAAACTAACAAGTTATCAAATACAAAAATAATTTTTTAATAGCAATATATCTCAACATTCTGCCAAGGTTATTTGCATTGGCCTAAAAATGCACCTACATATGACACACATGTGATATGAGTGAGTTGGTTTTGTTTTGGCATGGAAAATGGCCACCCTAAACGGAGATTGGAATCTAGAAGCATAATTTGGAAATGCTTTTATTAAGAAATCAGAAAAAAAGAGGGCACCCACCCAACTTGAAGTTTCCCATCGAATGCCACATGGCTTTTGTCATGGTCATGGTAATGTGAAAGAAAATGGATGGGATTGTGAGAGCCCACAATAAGAGTGAGAAAGTTAATTGGTAGCGAGCATGGTTATAGCACTAGTTTAAGAACAAAGAATGGGAGCAATCACTTAATATTATGGTCTAATTGTATTTCTCTTCACTTGTAAGTGAGATGTCTTAAGTTCGATTTTTACCAAAGGTGAATTTGAACCACTTTATTGCTAGCCCATTATGAGGCTAAGTCCACCCTCTCCCCCTTAATATAGATAATATCGTTTGTTCAAAAAAAAAAAAACACAAACAATGGGAGCAAACTTAGAAGAATGCACAAGGAGAAAATGATGTGCGGAAATTCCCTTCTTTATAGAAAATAAAATAAAATTTTAAAAAGTAGTTTAAGAACATAGAATAGGAGAAAATTTAGCATAGCACAAAGTTAGATCACTAGTTTAGGAAAAGAAGAAAGTTAAAAACAGAGAATTGGCGCACGAGCACATAATGTGTGTTACATGCTCTTAAAGTCCGTCTCTTCTATTAATTCCGTATAGATTACTTCCACATTCCACCATATCCTTCCTCCGCCCTCTTTCATCTATCATTTCTCTCATGCATTTTCCTTAGTCTCTAACAAAAAACAAATGAATACGTGCTAAAGCCTAAAACAAATGGATATAAAACCATCCTAAAATGGTAATTTAAACTTTCTTAGCCATCTAAGAAAATCCTGCACGACAATTTATGCACTCTATCAAGTTCTAATTTCATATCCGTGCACTCTATTAACTTGTTAGAGTAGAATATGTACTTGTTCTAACAAATGCAGATGGTTCTCTAATTTGAGGCAGCGCATTGGTTGCTGAGGAAGCCTTGCCATAGTACAAAGTACTAAAATTGGAGGACAGAAACTAAAAGGGGGCGTCAATCTAACCCTTCAAACACCAGCGTATTGTCTAAGACCCAGATTGTTGAGCGCATCAATCCTAGTCAGGAATCTAAAGTTTATTCCGCATATTGCTAATTGGTTTTGGGTTAGACCGATAGTCAAATTCTATCATAAACATAGTGGAAAGATGTTTAGGCGCATACCTTCACAGTTTGAGGGAGTATGTCCATCCTTACAGAAGCAGGTGAATTCAGCTGAAGATATATTGTACCCGCACTGACCCCCTGACCCTCGACATTGGTCACACAAGGTATTGCTTGCATCCCACTTCAACCCAATCCCGGAGTCAAGTGCAGCAACCAGATTATCCTTGGACGAATTCAACACCAGATTTGCAGCTGCGGATTGAGAAATGCTGGCCGTGACAGTCGTTTTGCAGTTACCACTAATATTCGGCAACCCAAAATTTGTGACGTAGTAATTATTGGAAGTGGCAGTACTGTTTATGCTGCAACTGAATTGACTTGTGGGCTGAATTGGAAGAGGAATGTCAAGCGGGGGATTGGAGATTTTTGTGTTGGAGATTGGAGATCAACATCATTTCATTCTTGAACTCTACTGCACCTTGTCCTGAGGTACTGGATAGTCTTTTTACTGCTATTTCCTTCCCTTCTGCTAGCTTACCCTACACAAAGTCGACAAATAAATCACTGCATTCATGTCTGTCTCTCTGTATCTATCGTAAAAATAAAGATAAATTACACAAAATTACTTTAACTGTAGATCACACAACAATTTCCTACCTCATGTTTTAAACATTGCAATGTTATACCTCTTCTTACGAATTGATTACAATGTTAAACCTCCGTTACTCACTTTGACAAATTAGTCGTTAAGTGATAACGTGCCAACGTAGAATCCATATTTTACTGAGGTGGCGGTCAATTGTGCCACTTAGATAAATACTAAATTATAAAATTAATTATTTTAAAATGAACATAAATTTTTACGCAAAAAAATAAATAGAAAGAGTGGGTCCACCCCTTCAATCCTACCACCCATCTGATGCTGCGCTGCTTCTAAACCACCATCTCTCCCCACCCTCCGCCGCCGATGGGAGGCAAAAGCAAAGGGAAAAACAATGGGGATGGCAGCAGATGCGAGGGAACTCGTCAGGGTTGGTGGACGCCCAGGTATCGATGTCGTCGGAGCCGATGTAGGTGCAGCGCCGCCAGACCCAGCGCATACTGCCCAACATCATTACCGACAACGCTTTTTGATTGCTGTTGGGTTTTTGCCAGAATTAAAGATCGAAAATTTTTGAAATTAAAATTGCAGTCTCCATCTTTGGCAATTGCAGAGTCTTTATTGATAGCGAGAGATGGAGAAGAGAAGAATGGGGGAAGAGAGAGAAAGTCGGAGAGGGTAGGGAAGAAGATTAACAGGATGAGGATGAAAGGGACTGTGCACATTTCCCTCGCATCTTCTGCAATCATATCATCCTAAACCAAATCCAAAATATCATACCATCCCCAACCAAACCCAGAAAATCACCGAACAGGCCATATCAAAGTTTTCTGAAAAAGAAGAAGAAAATCACCCCAAAAAAACAAAAAGAAGTTAAAAAAAAAGAATACAAAAAAAGGGATAACATGCGCTCCATTAAAGAGAAGCAAAAGAATCGAATACCATCCCATTTCTAACCCAAACCCATAAATCTATTTCCAAGTTCCAAACCAAATAATTCCAACAAAAATATCAAATTTTGTCTACATCCCCACCCTCCCATGTCTCCTCCACCTTTTCTTTCCAGCCAATTTCTCCCTCACCTCACTCCCTTCCAGGCCACCACTCACAGATCCGACCCACCCACCACGGCCTGTGGGGGTTTCACGGGTTATGGGGTTTCATTGACAGTGGAAACGGAGAGAAAGAAGAAGGCGCGCGGGAGGTGGAGTGGTCGAAGGTGGGGATCGAGGGTGTCGGAGTGAAAGTGGAGACGAAAGGTGGGGATGTAGGGCCTTTTTTAAAATAAATTTCTTATTAGTTTTAAATACTATAGATAATAACAATTTTTTATTACTTTCTTGTCCACTCGGCTCCAACTTAATGAATTTGGATCCTGTTCTGAGCTTGAGGATGTGGATCATTAGATGAAAATTCAACAATTACAAACAGGAAAATCCTTTTAAAGTTATAATAATTATAGCCGTTAGATTTTCATCCAACGACCCACACTCTTTGGTCTGGAGGATCCTTATCTTGGGCTCAAGTGAGGATCCAAATCCCAACTTAATATCCATATCCGCAAAATATGAGCCTTATAATTAACATGTCAACATTTAATAGAAAAATTGACAAGAAAGTTGACAAAGGTCTGAAATTGTAATGAATACGAAGTTGATGTATAACATTGTAATGTTTAAAAGATATGAAATTGTTATGTGACTCAAAGTTAAGGTAGTATGGTGTAATTTATCCTAAAAATAATAATAATAGTAATTACCTTATAAACTGGACCAAATCCTCCTTGCCCGAGTTTGTTTTCGGTGCTGAAATTGTCCATGGCAACAAATATGCTTTCAAAATCATAGATCAGTAGCTCATCATGTTTTCCACCTATATATTCTTGAAGGGTGTCCCTTGTTATTTTGATGTGCGTCATTGTTAATTTGATGTGTCCTGATTTTGCAAATATACACATCGAACACTGAATCAAAACAACTTCAAAAGTTTTGAGAGATAATCTGCTAATGCATTATATTAATCCAACACCTCGATCTCTTTCACTTAATTACCTTTTTGCTTAGCTCTCATCCTGCACAAACCGAACACTATGGCACGCAATACACCGATAAAACAAACAACCGTAAGGCTCACAATTAACTTTATTGGCTTTCCTTTACCTGTAAAATTTACAATACAAAAATAAGCATGAGATATATAGGAAAAGAAAAGTTACTGCTTGATAATTTGATTTGTCCAAGGCTTTAAAGGGTGATACCAAGTCAAGAAGGCTTCACGTTTTGCGAGGTAGGGAAAATACCAAAACAGAGTAAATTTTCAAATTTGGGCACTCCAAGCACAACCTAAAACTTGCCCAAAACTACTAGAAGTAAACTCTACAATACCCAGAAAAAGAAATACCTGCTGGGTTACAGACTCGATTGCCGCAAATGCAAACGGGTCGGTTCTTATCCGAGTCAAACCCGCAAAGCCCATAGACATTGAGACACTTAGCGCACTGCTTCTCGTACGGGTTGGTATAATTGACATTGAAGCCGGTCATGATCGCCTCTCCAAACAGAGACCCGTTGGCGACCAGCACCGCCGCCGTGGTTTTGAGAATCGGCACCGTAATCCCGACGGAGCACTTGAACCTGCTCACGATAGGATCGCTCGGTACCGGCCCGATCACGTAATAAGCGTCGTCGAAAGTCAAGTTAAGGTCGCAGAAAAACCAGTTCTTAGGTTTAGGAGGGATTAAGGTGGAATTACAGCCGTAGAAAATGGTGACATCCATGTCGTCGTCCTCGTCGTAGGTGAAGAACTCGGACTCGAGAGTTGAGTTAGCGAGTTTGTCGGTGCAGGTCGAGTTCCAGAGGTCGGAGCGGGCGAGGGTGAGGTTCTGGTGAACCTGGTCGAGTTTGAGAACCCGGTAGCTCAGCGACGAGATGATCAACTCGGGCGAGTCATCGACGCAGCTGAGTTGGAACTCCGGCGGGCCGCAGTAGGAGGGGCGGCTCCCGCCGGTGAAGGGGTAGGTGAGGTTCCGGAAGGGCCCGCAGTCGAAGGTTTGGGTGAAGTTGGAGAGGTCGGCATCGGCGGGGAATGACGTCGTAACGTCGACGGAGCAGAAGAAAAAGAAAAGGAAGAGCAGGAAGAGGAATGGGAGCATTGAGGGAAAGGGGAATGAAACGACAGCGGGGCGAACGAGGCGGGAAGTGTGAAATTTAATAAGGGTGGAGGTTTTCTGGTGACGTGGTGGGCTGTGGTTTGTTGACTTGGAACTGTTGGACTTTTATGTGGGGGTAGCGGACTGCACGCCGCTTTTGAATACTTTTTGGGGCCGCTGCCAAAATTGTATTGTCTTCTAGGCTTTATGGATTTCCTTCTTTTAGTTGATGTTGGTATTAATACGATTGAGTGGTATTATTCTTCATTTACACGTGGAAGATATTATGTTTGATTCTTATGAAAAATAAAATTAAATCACATTATTATAGCGAATTCATTATAAGGTTAACCTACTTCTACCCTTTTAGTATAGATATTAAAAAAATAATAATAATGTTGGTATGGTATGGAATTATATTTGTTTATAAATTGATGGGCATTTTGGTAATTTAGAAACTATTTTAGTGTTATTTGTCCTTTAAATTCTATAATTCTTGTTATGTATTTGTGAATTAGTATTTTTTTTTTTTTAATTTGGCCATAAAGTTCGTCTCACTCCAGTATTGCTATCATGGGAAGAGACTTTGAGGAGAATTTATTGATAAACAAAAAAAATACAATATGTCGGGGGGGGGGGGGGGACATGAGGTCAAACCCAGACCATTAAATAATTCATAACAACAATTGAAAACCTTTTTTAACAAAACCTATAACAAGGAAGCTTAGAAAGGTTCTCAGAATAAGCAGCTGCAACACAAGGAGGGCATGAATCCCACCAATGGACACCGGGGTGCTCAACACCATAATTGGCAAAACAATCAGCAACTTGATTACCCTCTCTAAAAATATGAGAAATCTGAACCTGCATGGAGGATAGTAAAACCTGATAGTTATGCCAACTGACCAAAAGCCTGCATGGGATAGATGTCAAGGAAGGTGAGGATGAAGAGAGAAGATGAACAACCAGTGAAGAGTCACATGCAATCCATAAGGAATGCCAACCTTTATCCCAAGCTAAAGATACAGCATGAATAACAGCTTGTAGTTCGGCATCCAAAGAAGAGGCCAAGATTATTGAACCAGCAAAACAACCAAGAAAATTACCGTAAAATCTTGAAAGATACCACCAAATGCAGCCACACCAGGGGAACCTCTTGCAGCCCCATCAGTATTCACTTTGATCCAAGACTAAGAAGGCGGACGCCACAACACCTCAATAATTTTTGGAGCCTTAGCAGGACGTCCACGAACACCAATAGAATGAAGAATGCAAAGCTCTTCCACAGAATTCTTCATATAGCCGAAATTGAGAGAATCAATTTCAAGGAGTTGACATTTAATAGACCTTACAACATAATTGATGGAAACAACCTCCTCATGAAAACGAACAACGTTGCGAGCATGCCAAATAGAATAAAAACCAACTCCAATCATACCCAACCAAAGCAGTTGCACTTGGGTACCAAAACCTTGTTGTAAAGGATAATGGAAAAAGCTAAAAATATCTTGAAATAAATATTGAACTCTGAATAATTCCAAAGCAGAAGACCAAATTTTACGTGCAAAAGAGCACTGACAGAAAATATGTGAAGCAGTTTCCACACCTTCACAACAAAGAGAGCACATAGATGCTATAGCAAAACCTCTTTGCTGCAAGAGATCATCAGTTAACATCTTATCATGTAAATACTTCCACAACGTAACCGAATTACGAGGGCAAAAGCAAGATTGCCAAACCCATCGATCCCATTGAACCACTGGTTGTTTATTACATTTAAAATCATAAGCCAAAGATAAAGAAAAGTCACCATTTGAAGCAGACAACCAAACCATTTTGTCATCAATCCCATTCTTTGAAGGAAGCCTAATAGAAGAAATATCATCCCAAATGGGCACTAGCCATGAAAGTAAAGTAGGTGGGGGAATCCAACAACCATCCACAATAAAATCAGAAACTTTAGCTCCAAAAGCCTTACATAAATCTGGTGGAATACCAAGCCTATCAACTATTGGAAAATCTAACCATCTCGCATGCCAAAAATTAATATTTTGACCATTACCTATCACCCATTTTGATCCATGAAAAATTTCTGAAAAAAAGAGGGCGTAAACCAGGCCAAATGGAGGAACTCTTGTATGTAGAACACGGCTGTCCAAGACAATTAAAAAACCGACCTTGTAAAAACCGTGAAGCCATAGATGAGGTAACCAAAATATCCCAAAAATTTTTCAATAAAAAGGCCTTATTTAAAGCTGAAAAATTACAGATACCAAGACCTCCTTCATTTAAGGGAACACAACATTTTTTCTATGCCACAATAGAAAATCCACAAGAATCAGCACATCTTGTCCAAATGAAATTTCAAGTCCAACTACGAACCTGTTTTAATATCGTAGGTGGCCAAGAATAAACTGAGAAAGTATGAGACAACATGCTTACAACAACTGACTTGAACAAAGTAACTCGACCAGCCATTGAGAGAGAGTGACCTTGCCATTGAGAAAGACAAGAACGTATTCTATTTGCTAATGCTTGAAAATATGCCCTCTTAGGTTTGCCTTTAAAAATAGGAACCCCCAAATAAGTAAATGGAAGCTCACCTTCAGAGACATTGAGCCAGGATAAAATACGCAAACGATGCGTAGAAGCCGATTTCCCAATAAAAATACGAGATTTACCTTTACTAATGCATTGACCAAAATTCACACCATATTCTTCAATAAAATGCATAAGGTTCATAAGGCTGCACTTGTCACCTTTGCAAAAAACCATTATGTCATCCGCATAGAGAATATGAGAAGGAGCAGTCACTCCCTGAGGGGAAGAAATGGGTTTAACCTTTCCAGAATTTACAAGATCCACTAGACCTCGACTAAAAACCTCTTCAGCAAGACAAAAAAAGGAGAGGGGATAGAGGATCCACCTGACGAACACCCCTACTACATCCGAAAAATCCAACAGGTGAACCATTGAATAATATAGATAGCCGGGCTGAGGAAAGGATTACACGAACCCATTGAACAAAAGTGTCATGGAAACCAAAAGCTCTAAGCACCCGATCTAGAAAGTCCCAATTGAGAGTATCAAAAGCTTTAGCAACATCAAACTTAATAGCGACATTACCCCCAAAACACTTATGGTCCAATAAATTAACACACTCCGAGGCCAACAAAATGCAATCTGAAATATGCCTGCCCTTAAGAAATGCGTATTGTTTCGGCAAAATAATTCGAGTAGCCATAAGAGCAAGCCTATCTGCGAGAATCTTTGTAATGACTTTGAATATAAAATTAGCCATGGCTATTGGCCCAAATTGAGAGATAGAATCAGCCTCTTGGACTTTAGGAATTAGAGCTACAAAACTAGAATTCAAATTGGGTAAAATATAACCTGTCTTGAAGAAATCTTGGACAGCCAAAGAAACCTCAAATCCAGCGAAATCCTAGCAAGCATGGAAAAAAGAACCACCAAAACCATCTGGACCTGGAGCACTATCCGGATTCATGGAAAATACAGTTTGTTTAATCTCCTCCAATGTGGGAATAGCCAGTAAAGTATCATTTTCAGGTGTAGTTACCAAAGGAGGAATAAGACGAGTAACCAAACCTGTATCAATAGCAAGGCCATCATCATGAAAAGCATTAAAAAAAATGCTCCACCACATGATTGCGCAAAATCTCAACATCCTCAACCAATTCCGAACCGATACTCAGAGAGAAATAAAATTACGAGTCCTGCAAATTTTTGCCAAAGTATGAAAATAACTCGTATTACGGTCTCCATCTCGCAACCATTTAGACCGTGTTTTATCCTGCCAAAATTTTTCTTGAACTAGCAGCGCATGAGACAAAGTAGAATGAGCTTGTAATTCAGCCCCATGACGTTCATCAGTAAAACCCTCTGTGGAGATTTCAAACTGAATTTTTTCTAAAGCCTCTCTAGCATTATCCACGGCAACATTGACATTTCCAAAAACATCAGCATTCCAATGTCTTAGAATAGGCTTTAGCAACTTGAGCTTTTGTTGAAGAATAAACATAGGACAACCATAAACTTGAATAGACTGCCATGAATTTTTAACCAAATTAATAAAATCAGGATGATCTAACCACATGCGATGAAAGTGAAAAGGAGTAGGACCTTGAGCTGCAAACTTTTGAAAAGAAACTAGAAGAGGATTATGATCTGAAGAATGACGAACCAACGTGGAGAAATTGGTGATAGGCCAGGCATCCAGCCATGCAGTAGAACAAAAGCACCGATCTAATAACATTTCAATATGAGATGATATGCCACGTCCATTAGTCCAAGCGAAAGGGGAGCCCTTAACATCAATCGGAACCAAACCACACGTATCCACCATAGCTTGAAACTCCTCACATGCGATTCGACGAGGCAAAATACCCCCCATTTTCTCATGTGCGCCAAGAACCGCCTTAAAATCACCCAAAATAAGCGAAGGACCTGAAAAGCTGGCACAAACTTGAGCAATAGAAAGCCAAAGTGGTCGACGTTCCACCACTGTTGTAGCAGCATAAACAAAAGTAATACAGTGGGCAGTGCCAGCCACTAAAAATTGAATAGTAATATGTTGACTAGAAGTAGATAAAACCGTAGGAGATAAATCATTAGCTGTGTGAAAAACCCAAATATTAGGCAATCTCTGACCTCTATCATTTACTCCCAGAAAATGCATACCAATAGATTTCCAAAAACATGGACAAATTTTCATTGTAGAAGTCATAGGTTCTGCCAAACAAAGAAAATCAAGAGAATGTTTTCTGACAAGGCTCCGTAAAGCTCGTCTAGTGGGGCGATTTGCTAAGCCCCGAATATTCCAATAAATGGTCTTCATGGATTACGGGGAGCCATAGCAGCAACCCTAGCACGAGTTTGAATAGTCTCACGCTCGTAGGTATGATAACCAGATTCCCGTTGTTTTTTCCGTAATCTTCTCTTCTGAGATTTTGAGAGAACCAAAGTCATGTCATCCTCAGAAACATTATTTGCACCATCTAAATCATTGTTTTCTCTACTGGCAACATTATTTTGAAGAGCATCTTCCTCCACCATAGTGTACCAATCATTAACCTTTTGAATTTCAGCGCGAACTTGAGGAGATAAAGAAGGAGAACTAGCCTCTTGAACTTGAGAAACAACTTGAACAGAGTCATTAGCATTACATCTCTCAGAGAGCACAAGAGAAGAGTTTAATTGAATACCTATAAGGGGAGTATCCATCGGAGTATCAGAAACATGGTCACAAGTTGTATCATTATCATCAACTAAACCTTCCACAAAATGTGAAGGAGAAGCATCATCCAAACCCCTCGCACTAGAGAGGGAGTTCTTAATAACCAAACCAGCCTTAGCCAATTGACTAACCACATGATCATGAGAACCTGGAGTTTCTGAAATGTTTGAGTCAAGCAATGTGGATGAAACCCAAGTGGATTAAAATGTCATACAATCTTTAGACTTGATTTTCTAGGTCGAAGACTTCTATTACCTACGTATCTGCGATGAGATTTTCATACTTATTTTAATCGTGTGTTGTTTGTTTTTAGTTTTTAAATTGAATAGCAAGTGGTAGATTGATCTGGTAGTTAGGATTTTTATATTCAACTTACTGCGTTTTGTGTTGAAATTCTTCTTTTTTCTTTAATGTAGATTAGTGTAAAATATCGCTTATACTAAAAAAACAAAAATTTTCGTCCTATCTCAATTTATTGTCCCAAAGCTTCTTGGTTTTCAACATTTCATATATCAAGTTTTTTTTTTATCTCAGAATTATGGCTTAAGGTACTAGACTAGGACGAAAAAACTTAATATATGAAATGTTGAAAACTAAAAAATTTAAGTACAATAAACTAAGTTAGTCCTAATTAAATGAAAAAATAATACTTAAATGAAAATTTTTGTGGTGAGGGAAAAGAGCAACAAATTTGGTTAACTAGAATGGCAACAAGGGATCAAAATGACCAAAACATGAACAATCGGTTTTAGGGTTGGCTCGAGCAACATTTGCGAGGAATATAAGGAGTTGTTTGGTATTCAATTTGAAATTAACTCATAGTTTTCGAAAATGATCAAGGTAACTACATTATTTAGTAATACATGGATACCAAACAAATCCATCAATTGTTTGCTGTTTTTGCAAACAATTGGCTCTAACTGTACTAGGTTCCTTCGCTCTGCTTGCATTCAAATTTTCGACCTGGGTTTTCTAGCACACAAGCCTAATTAAACACAGTTTACGACTAATCATCTAAAACGAAGACTTAGATAGCTAGCTAGGAGTTCCAAATGTGTAATTTACAAGAGAATGCCAAAGGGACAAAACAAAAAAAGAAAAGAAAAGAAAGGGATGGGACAAATTATGAGTACTTGACGTTTTGTTGACTATTTATCTTTCTATTTATTTATTTTTATTACCTGCAATATTTTTAATTAATTTACCCCAAGAGAAAGAAAAATGCTTGAACTCGGAATATAGTATATTAGAAGAAAAAAAACCTTGAGTACTTAGGCAAACCGTCACTTGCATCTTTTAGTGTTCATACAAAGATATTGGGAGCTGGGAATTTGTGTTAAGTTACATAATAGGTTACTTATAATTTGATACTGAACTCACCATTCAAGAAATTTGAACTTAATATCTTTCACCTATAAGTAAAGAAGAAGGGAAGTGATAAACAAGCACACACACACACCATTTCTAGTTTCTTACATACTCATGTTAAATCTTATTTGTTTGTTTGGTTTGATTTATCCAATATAACAGCCATTGTTTAAGAGGAGTTTATGACAAGATAAGGGGATGTGTTAGAATCTCTCAAGAAGAATACCACTAGAGTGTAGTAATAAGGTGAGAATCTAGATTAAGACACAAAATGGAGAAATCATAATTTAGTATTGAACTAGCCATCCAATCTAATTTTTAAACTCCAACTTTTACGCAAAGATTTTCAATTTGCCGGAAATATGGTGACACGCCCCGACCCCGATATTTCCCGAATACCAGGATAGGCACGTGCTGGCCGACACCCGAGGGTGACGAAAGCCATTTATTGAGTGCAAATGCTGAAAACAAGGGATAAACAAGGCTTATAAATATAAAAGAATAATGAATATGCAAGTTAGGACCATGTTCAGAGCACACCTCTAATCTAGAACACTAAAAGAAAATAATATAAAATTGAATGAAACGAAGGAGTGGGTCCTACACCGAGAAGACTCGAAGATGCCGATGCGGAAGTGCCTGGACGTCGGGATTGTATGCCTCAATTCTAAGTCATGAAGGGGGCGCAAAACAAACATGAGTGGACCAAGTTGATATATATATATAATAAAACAGTTATCAACATACTAACCCCCAGGTTTTATGAAAACACAAATATATAATGATAAACATAGGTTTTCCGAAACCTAGCATGTCGTGCAATGTCTCAAATCATAATTCGCATAAATAATAAACACTAGTGAATGTCCGATACAACTCTCCTGGCCCCATGCCGGCTCCCGGTCTCTGAGCAGACAGTCAGAGGAAAATACACTTCAGGCCTCATGCCGGCTCCCCGTCTCTGAGCAGACAGTTAGAGGAAAACACACTCCAGGCCCTATGCCAACACCAAACCGTCGCCCGGGACGGACCGGATCTATCCCTATGTCCTGTAGCGGAAAGGACCACTAGGTAAGTACAAAACCAGTGAACATACATATATTGAAAATTAACTCCATAGTATAAAGTCATCCATCATCTATACTATAAAGAGGTGTTCTAAACATGTTCTCAATATCATATCGTCATCCATCAGATATTCTAGAAGAACATGAGTTATAGGAAAATAGTATAATTCAAACTAGCCTCAATAAGCATGTTATCTCGTAAAACGTTTCATAAAACATAATCATCAAATCATGCTTTGCATGTATGCATTTCTACTATTAAAACATGCATTTTTAGAACGGGTCCACTCACAGTACTTCGCCGTCGAAAAGCCATGCCATCTAGCGAAGAAGGAAACGCCACAGATAATCGCCCCTAAGCACATAAAGAGTACATTTAGTCAAACTCTACTCAAACGACTGAATTTAGGAAAACGGACATCGGAAACAGGTTCAGGACGTCGAAATTAGCCTAGGTAGGGTCCCGCACGAAACCCGAAAAGTCAACGGTCAAAGTCAACCTTGACCGTTGACCGGTCAAAGTCAAAGTTAACGCTGACCGTTGAACGGGTCCGGGTCAACAGGTCAAATGGGTCTGGGCTTGGATCCCGATTGGGTTAAAGGGTTTGGACTTGGGTTGGATCCGGGTTTGGGCCTAAGGGTTTGGGTCTAATGGGTTTAGGGTTAACGGGCCGAATGCCTTAAAGAAAACGGCCCAAAGGCCTTTAAATTAACAAAACCCAAATAAAAATAAATAAAAAGGTTGGGTTGGGCTGCCCAGGGTTTTGGGCTTGGCAGGAAAGGCCCAAAGGCCTTGGGTTTTGGTGGTTCGCCGAATTCCAAGGAAGGAGAAGGCCGGTTTTCGGCCGGAGAATTCCCAAGCTCCGATGGAGCTTAAAACTCAACCAAAACATGTCATTCAATATACCAAAATGAAGCCCCGAAGGTAAGGAATCGAAATATACCCTTGGTTCCCATCATCGTGGCCGGCGTTGGCCGGAAAACAGCCTGGAAGCCACGGGTGTCCGCCGGAAACTGGGTAAGATTCAAATGAGTATAACTTCTTCAATACTCAATGAAATTGGGTGAAATAAAAAGGAAAGTTGTAGTACTCAGCGAGACGAAGAGATTGATACCTTTCACGCCAGACAAATAGCCGTGGTTTGGCCGGAAATTGCCTCGAAAGGGGCGGTGCTCGCCGGAAAACTGGGAAATGTCTCCGAGGTGGTTTCTTCATGGTTTGACGTCCAAAACACAACCACGGGGTCAGAACATAACTATAGGTGTGGGCATGGGTGTGTGTGTTTGTGGGTGTGTTCTACTCGGAGGGAGGGAGAGAGGTCGGGGGAAAGGAGAGAAGAGAGAACTGAGAGAGAAGAAAGAGATGAGAGGCTCGGGGGGACAGAATCAGGGGGTGGGCCCCTTGGGCTCACCAATTAAGACTCAAAAACAATTTAAAAAAATGAAAGGTATCCCTCAAAGTTAGTGAAAATACAAAAATACTCATTTTCTTACGTAAATTCCAAGACGGGTTGTTACATATGGAGTCATACACTACAAGTCATCATATAATTGAATTTTTTTTTTTCAAATATCCCTCCAAAATTATATAATAACATGTGACGTATTACTAGTGTTTTGAACGCACTAAAAAATACTAAAGAAAAATAATACCACAGCCTCGAGTCTTAATGCCTCATAAAATTTTGTTGACTTGATCAAAAGATTTTATTTAATGCAGATCTAGAATTTTCTTCTCCTCTGGCTCTACGGGTGATTTTTCTTGTTTGGGGTTATTTGCTATAAGTCAAGCCAAATTAGTTTACGTATAAGCGCTTCCCAACAAGAAAAGACATACATTTTAATGGCCTCAAAAACTAGATCTTGCCCGTTCATCCAACTCCCACCTATCTATCACCCACGGTCTCGAAGGCTCTCTGTAAGGGTTGTTTACTTTTAGTTAAGTAGTAGTTGAAAAAGGGCCTAAAAACCATAGTTTAGACAACCATGCTGTTCCACTAACAACCATAGCTTATAGTTCAACCGTCACTATATTAAAGCCTCATTTGATATCTAAAATTAAATTGAAATAGATAGACTGCTAAATTAAGGTAAAAACTATGTTCATCTAAAAACGTAGAAGATCAATTAATCATAAAGAAAACTATGAGTCTCAATTTCTCTATAATGTAGGATTACAAGGGATGATTTTCCTTCATAGCTAATCCTCTCTTATTCCTTCCAAAACAAAAAGTATAACTATAGTTTCATTTTTTTTTATTATCTGAGTAGAAATTGCATTCAAAAAATCCATGCACAATGGAAATATATATAGGTCCAGAAGGGTGCCTCAAAAACATAAAGGGCATTACAGATATGACGCATAAGCAAGCAGGATTGGCCAACCTCCACCACTGTCAGGAGCATACATTTAGCGTCCTTCAATCAGTGTCATTGTAGCTTCATTTGTGAGGAAAGTATTCGAAGGCTGTGGTTGAGGATGAGAGACTGTGTTTTGGATAGTGAATAGAGGCTGCTTAGGTTGTGCACCACCAATTATAGTTGTGGAACCATTTAGCATAAAAACTACATCCGGCACGCTCGGCCTATCCATCGCATTGTCCTGTACACAAAGCAGCCCAATATGCACACATTTCATTACTTCTGAAGCCGAATATGAATCAGCCGTCAGCATTTCATCCACCAACTCCAATTCCCTGCCTTCCTTCCATAACTGCCATGCATACGCTAGTAAGCCTAGCTGTCGATCATAGATATAGAAGGCGGTATTCTTCTTGCTGCTAATAATCTCCAATACCAAGACCCCAAAGCTGTAGACATCAGATTTTTGAGAAAATATTCCACCCATGGCATACTCCGGAGACATATATCCACTGCGCGAACATGAAACTCATTAGTATATATGTAGCTAACATAAGTGTTTCGTTTCTTCCTTTTAAGAACAATGTTACCAAAAAATACGTATGTAATGTGATCGATGCAACTAATTAGCAGTTTTTATCCAAACAGGAGGAGTCGGTTAAGATTTCATGATGCAATGCTAACCATTAGAACTTTTGGTTGCGAATGACATGTTTAACAATATATAGAAAGGCATGAATCTTACCGCGTTCCCGCAACTCTCTGAGTATTTTCTAAATTCTGTGTCCCTTCAACTGAACGTGCCAATCCAAAATCTGAAATTTTTGGGTTCATTTTCTCATCCAAGAGAATGTTGCTCACTTTTAGATCTCTATGTATTACCTTCAAATACGAATCATGATGGAGATAAACAAGCCCATTGGCAACACCTTGAATAATATTAAAACGTGTACCCCAATCAAGCACTGCTCTTCTCGTCAAATCTGATCATCAAATAATCGATCAATACACCGATTAGAATCTAAAGATAAGAAATTGCAGTAAAGTGCAATTGAAACTAACCGAAAAGAAAAGTATCCAAGCTTTTGTTTGGCATGAACTCATAAATCAGTAACTTCTCATCCTCTTTAACACAGCAACCCATGATTCTGACCAGATTTTTGTGTTGGAGATTGGAGATCAATAACATTTCATTCCTGAACTCTACTACACCTTGCCCTGAGTTACTGGAGAGTCTTTTTACCGCTATTTCCTTCCCTTCTGCTAGCTTACCCTACACAAAGTTGACAAATAAATCATTGCATTCATGTCTGTCTCTCTGTACCTATCATAAAAATAATAATAATTACCCTATAAACTGGACCAAAGCCTCCTTGCCCGAGTTTGTTTGCTATGCTGAAATTGTCCGTAGCAACTAATATGCTATCAAAATCATAGATCTGTAACCCAGATAGGTCATGTTTTCCTCCTATATATTCTTGAAGGGTGTCCCTTGTTAATTTGCTGTGTCCTGATTTTGCAAATATAAACATCAAACACTGAAAATCCAAGCGAAACAACTTTCAAATTAAGTTTTGAGAGATAATCTGCTAATGCATTATATTAATCTAATACCTCAATCTCATTCACTTAATTACCTTTTTGCTTAGCTTTCATCTGGCACCAACCGAACACTATGGCACCCAATACACCGATAAAACAAACTGGAAGGATCGCAACTAATATTATTGCCTTTCCTTTATCTGAAAAGTTTACAAAACAAAAACAAGCCTGAGATGGAAAAAGAAAAGTTATTAATGGATAATTAGAATTGTTCAAGGCTTGAAGCACTAGTATCATTAATTCATCTGCTAGTTCTGCGCGTGCTAGGTGAACATAAACATCTGCGCCGTTAGGGGGAATGAGGTGTTTGGACCAGACCAAACACCATATTTTAAAAACAAGTGCATACGCTTTGTAAGAACAATTATTTAGGCGCACTGTCTTGCAGTCGGCGGATGTGCTCTCAGAATCTAAAGACACAAACTCATGAGAATCTGGTACTTTGAACCCTACCAGCTTCAGAAACCCATCATCATCTTCTTTTCCTCTCAATGTGAATGAATTATTTGTGTATCTCTCACAAAACAATTTGGTTTTCCTCACACACCCTCCCATCCAGTTTCCACTGCTCCATTTCCCTTCTGACTTTGGTACGAACCCTTTCAAGCACTTGCAGATCGGTGAATATTTGTGACGGCGTCTCTTGGGAAATTACAAGCAAGAATATCTCAGTTGACGGATCGCTTTCACTTTTCCAGGAAGTCATGGCAGTCCTCGTTCCAGAATTAATACCGTATCCCAGGAGCTGGCTTCGTAGAAGGGTATCACAAGGGTGATCAAAGCTCTGCTATAACAATTGATCAGCTCTTATATCATCTTTGACAACAAAGTTTCCATTGTCCGTTGTCCCTGTACAGCAGCGTCGCTTTTGGGTCTACCTCTTCTGAAGCTTTATTTGTTTTTTAGAATAAAAACAGAACTCATCTTTCATTTGCCCCCAGCTTTGAATATTATGAAGAAATAATTGGTTACCAAGTCGAAAAGAACTTGGAGATGATACTAAGAAATCAGAAAAAAGAGGGCACCCACTTTGAAGTTTCGTTTCCCATGGAAAGCCACATGGGTTTTGTCATGGTAATATGAAAGAAATTGGATGGAATTGTGAGAGCCCACAATAAGAGTGAGAAAGTTATTTGGTAGTGAGCATGGTTATAGCACTAGTTTAAGAAAACAAAGAAGAGGAGCAAACTTAGAAGAACGCACTTGTAGAAAATGGTGTGTGGAAATAAATAACGCACTTGGAAAAAATGGTGTGCAGAAATTTCTTACTTACTAGAAAATAAGATAAAATTTAAAAGGGCCCATAGTTAGATTAGTAGTTTAAGAATAGAAAATAGGAGAATATTTAGCATAGCACAGAAGGAGAACAAAAGTGTAGTGGGTGGACGAATGAAGGTAGAATTTGGAAGTAATCTCTTGGAATTGATTGGATGGAGAGAAAAGAGACAAACTCTAAGAGTATGTGACACACATAATGTGCTCTCCTGTGCTAAATTTTTGTTACACTACCAATCTAACTATGCGCTCTTCTTAACTTTTTCCTATTTTAGAAGGAGAAGTGTTCATCATGATTCTACAAGCACTACCAGCAAAATACAATCAATTGACGGTGTCCTATAATACTCAAGACAAGACATGGATTGTTCATAAGTTAATTGCTCAATGTGTGCAAGAGGAATCTCGACAATGGTTATAGCACTAGTTTAAGAAAGTTATTTGGTAGTAAGCATGGTTATGGCACTAGTTTAAGAAAACAAAGAAGAGGAGCAAACTTAGAAGAACTGTGAAATCCCGTTCCCGGATTTCACTGTTATAATCAACGTATTTGTATTATCGAGATTTTATATTATTTTTGAGAAATTATATTAATTTATTTGAAATTAGATTTCCATTAAACTAGGTATGAAGGGTGAAATTTGGAAAATAATTATTTACTTGTTGACCTTTTGAGGTCACAAGTAACGTTTTCGAATAGGTCTCGAAGCCACGAGCGCATAGGAGAAAGCCGTTTGCGAGTCCGAATTATAACAGTATAGTTACGGACGTTTGAAGTTGTGAAACTATAGATTGTGGAAATTATTATAATTTCCATTTAGGAGTATAAGTGGCCAAAAAACCCTTTTTGGGATGGGGGGGAGACCGGCATTTTAAGAGGAGGGGGGGGGAGAAGAAAGGAAGGGAGAGATCTCCCTTTCCCGTCCGTACACCCGCGCCCCACCCAAAGCAAATTTTGGCGATTTTCGCCATCTTTTCCGTTGAATCACCACCATTAACTACCTGCAATCTCTTCCACTACCTCCCTTCTACCTTTCTCGCCTAAGATTGAAAGGTTTTGGGTCCAAAACCATGTAAAAATCATGTGGGTGACCCATGGAGTTTTGACGGCGATTCCGCCTTTCCGGTGAGTTTCACCACCCATCACCACCCTTAGTCAACTCCCCTTGGACCCAGGATCAAGACCCAATAGGTTGTAGGAGCATTGGGATACCGAGGAAGTCGAATTGAAGAGCACCCATCTTTGGGTTCCGGCGGTTCGTGGCCAGTTTGGGGTGTTTTCCGGCCAAATTGGCCTTGGCCGCAGGTATAAAGTTTACTCTACTTGTTGAGATCTTCATTCTTGTGAAATTTGGGAATTTTTGGGAAAAAAATCGAATTTTCTGATATGTAACATTTGATTTATGAAATGCTTCTTTTGTTACCAAGCATCTAGACCTAGAAGGGAATTCTAGTTGAAATAACATCCTTGTTAATTTTGTGCTTATTTCAGTGTGTTTGGTTGGGGTTTAAGAGTTTAGTTTGTTTATGAGTATTTATATTCAAATCAATGGTAAACGAACCAACTTCTCTTATATATGTATATACGTGTGTCTGTATATATGTATATAATTGCGGCTTATACTTGTCGAAAAGGGGTAGTGGCAAAAGTGATGAGGTAGTGTTTTGAAAAACCATTAACTTTAGGTTGGTTATTAAACGATAAAGAAAGAAGGTTACGAAACATAGGCATTGAACCTTACAATGTTGATTGCATAGTTGAGAAATATTATGCATGTTTACTAGTATGAAAATGTGAGTTGGTTTTATAATGTGATTTCTATTGAAATGTGAATGTTACATACTTATAACCTATGCTTATTAAATAGGATTTGGCTTGTGTACTGATGATGTTTGTGATATATGTGTTTAATTATCTTTTTAATAATGTGATTGATAATTATGATGAACGTTATGGCAATTATGGGAATTAAATATTGTTTGATAATTATTTGGATATGCTTGCCAACTGAATACCTATTTGAACTTGGCACTATTACCTAGCATGAGATGGGGATGGAAGTCAGAAGATGAGTTAGGTATTTTATTAGATTTTTAGTGGAAATAGTAATTGAGGGAATTCCTTGTGTTGTGCGCCATCTGACTAGATGCTGGTTGATATGTGGAATCGATAGCATGTTTGCGTAACATTGTGTTCAATGTGTTATGATGAGATTGCACCACGTGGAGGTGGTACATGGATGGTCCTGCTTGGTATAACCACGATGGGGGACCATACGCATTCTAGAGGTGATGATGATTGATTGTACTTGGTACATTTTGTAGGTGATCATATTTGGTTTAGTTCCGTTGAGTGATGGTCCGGAACCCGAGTTATTGTTTTTCGTGGAGTGGCCTAAAATCCCATTATTTAGAGAAGTAGGCTTGGCCTAACTAAGTCACTCTAGCCTTAGTTTTTATATATATTTGTGTCAATGGTTCCGAGTCTTATGAATTGAGTTAGAAAATATGTTGGACGTCCGGGTGACTCCTTCGGGAGTTTTCATGATTCGATTATGATTTCATAAGGTATGAATTTAAAAGATATGGGAATGATTGTTATTACTTTGATCAATTTAATTAATTAGTGCGGCTAGAGAATGGTTTTGTGTGTCGTCGGTTCTTAAATATGATGTATGTTGTGAATTGTGATATCATGATGATACATAATGATTTATATGTTGGATGAGTGAGAAATCATGTTTTCATGGGGGTTGCTTATGTAGCCTAAGTCCAGGAACTACATGTTATCAGGTTATAATAAATGTTTGAGGAATGCTTTGTTTTCTTTCTGAACTTAGTGGGATAAACGTCTGATTTTGTGTTATGAACTACGAATGGCTTGATCCCTATTTGAGGGTACGTAGGCAGTCTAACGAGGAGGTTAGATGCAGCCATAAGGTAAACGAAAATTTCCTTGAGATTTGATTCTCGAATTGTGATTTGTTATATTTATGAGACGAGGTATGTGAGATTACGAGTATTTGAGTGACGTCACATGTTGATCCTGGACGTATGTCGGGATCGGGGCGTGACAAGAACGCACTTGTAGAAAATGGTGTGCGGAAATAAATAACGCACTTGGAAAAAATGGTGTGCAGAAATTTCTTACTTTCTAGAAAATAAGATAAAATTTAAAAGTGCCCATGGTTAGATTAGTAGTTTAAGAAAAGAAAATAGGAGAATATTTAGCATAGCACAGAAGGAAGAAAAAAAGTGTAGTGGGTGGAGGAATGAGTGTGGAATGTGGAAGTAACCTATATGGAATTGATTGGATGGAGAGAAAAGAGACGAACTCTTAAAAGTATGTGACGCACATAATGTGCACTCATGTGCTAAATTTTTGTTAAGCTAGCAATCGAATCATGTGCTCATTGAAACGATGCGCTGCAGTTGAAGTATCGATTGTCATCCACAGCTGAAGATTTTCAGCCATGAAAAAGGCATATGGTAGTTGAGATCACAAGGAGCCAAGAGATGTTTTGGAAGGGATAGTGATGTATTTCCATGGCGAGAGAGAGAGAGAGAGAGAGTACTATTCAAAGTCGAAGAAAAAAGAGAAGATGATAGTTTCATTTGGAACGTTAATTTAATTACTAGTAGTCAATGGAAATTTTTTATGCCTAAGTTCGTAACGATTTTTATGGTCAACTTTGCATATAGCTAACACATCAGCCACCTTAAAAGAAAAGTTGGCTTAATCTTGGATTTGTATACCTAAATTGCTCTGCACTTAGATTACAAGCATCAAAGTCAACAAAGGCAGACACGTTGTCGGTGGAATGGGTATAGTTGTATGGTAGGTGGGTATAGTTGCATGGTAGGTTATGTGTATATTTCGACAGCAATACACTGTTTGACAAGTGTTACACCTGTCTCTACTTATAAATGTAATTCTGTATTTCTCCCTAAAAATTTATAGAATTATCACTTTAATCCTTAATTTTTCACCCAATCAGGATCTGGAAAAGAGATTTGTTCCTATCCCTAAGCTACCACGTGGCAGTACCCCAACACACCTCTCCTTTCCCTTTCTGTCCCCTACCCACCGTGACCCCTTCTCTTTCTTTCTCTTTCTCTTTTTCTTTCTTCTCTCTTTTTCTGCACACTCTTTCTTCCCTCTCTCGAAACTTTCTCATCTCTCTCCCTTTCCTACATTGTGACCATGCACTCGCACCCATAGCTGCACCTGCTCGGGGAGATCATCATCATCATCGCCATCAAACCTCATCTTTCTCTCCCTTGCTCTCGTCGCCGTGAGGACGTAAGAACCGAGAACTCTCCGGCTAGTTTCCTTTGTTTTTCCGGTTTGGTAAGTTTTGATTTTTCCCTCTATCCATGTTAGTTGTTGCCTGGATGTGTTTTACTGAGTTTGAGCTCGTTATTTCCAAGGTTTTAGAGTGAGATCGGCACAGGTGAAGGCACACCTATCTCCGGCGAGTTTCGTGGTTGTCGAGGAGTTTTCCGACCACCACAGGCCGTTTTACGGCGAACCAAAGGTATAAAAATACTCCTCTTGTCTAGTGCTTCATTTTGAGACCTAGATCGGGGTCTAGAGTGCACGTTTACAGTTGGCCGGAGCTGTAAAAGCTCCGACGTTCTCCTCCGGTTCGCACCAAGCCCTTCAGGCCGTTTCTCCACCCACAGGCCTTAGGCCTGTGTTGGCTTCAGCCCAAAACCTTAACCCTTTTCCTTTTTATTTTTATTTAATTTCTTTAAGACCCAAAGGCCTTAGGGCCGTGTTAGCAAACCCAAAACCCTTTTTATTTGGGCCTTGGGCCCGTGTGGTTTAAGCCTTAAACCAGCCCACCTAAAAATCTAAACCCATTTTCCTAACCTAAACCCTAAGGCCCAAACCCGAATCCAATACCCAAACCCTAAACCGTGTTGACCCGGGATGACTCTGATGGGTTGACCCATGACCCGCTGACCGTTGACTGTCAACGTTGACTTTGACTATTGACTTTGACCTCAGGGTTGACTTTTTGGGTTTTCGTGCGAGACCCCTCCTAGGCTAATTACTACGTTCTGAACCCGTTTCCAATGTCCGTTTTCCCAAATTCAATCGTTTGAGTAGAGTTTGACTGAATGTACCATTTGTGTGAATAGGTGCGATTCATAGCAGTGATTCCGTTATTCCTGTTTGGTACGGCTTGCACCAACGGTGTATGGTGAGTGGACCCCTTCTAAAAATGCATGTTTTAATGGTAGAGATGCATACAGGGAAAAGCATGATTTCACAATTATGTTTTATGAAACGCTTTGAGATAACATGCTTATTGAGGCTATTTCGAATTGTTACTATTTTTCATATAACCCATGTTCTTATAGAATATCCGATGGATAACGATATGATATTTAGAACATGTTTAGAACATTTCTTTATAGCATAGATGATGGATGACTTTATACTATGAAGTTGTTTTTCAATGTATGTATGTTCACTGGTTTTGTACTTACCTAGTGGTCCTCTTCACTACGGGACGTAGGGATAGATCCGGTCCATCCCGGGGGACGGTTTGGTGTTGGCATAGGGCCTGAAGTGTGTTTCCTCTGGCTATTTAGCACAGGGACGGGGAGCCGGTGTGGGGCCTGTAGTGTGTTTTCCTCTGACTGTCTGCTCAGAGATGGGGAGCTGGCATGGGGCCTGAAGAGTTATTGGACATTCACTAGTGATTATTATTTATACAAATTACGATTTGAGACATTACATGACATGCTAAATTTCGGAAAACCTATGTTTATCATAATATTTGTGTTTTCATAAAACCTGGGGGTTAGTACGTTGATAACTGTTTTACTATATTTATATATCAACTTGGTCCACTCATGTTTGTTTTGCGCCCCCTTCAGGACCTATGAACGAGGAATACGATCTGAGCTACTAGGCATTCCCCTACCGGTGATATTATGCTATATTCTCTCTGCTTCGACATCTATTGTAATAGCACTTCTCTATCTTAGTTATGCTTGTACTCTGTGATAAACTTATGCTCTGGACGTGTTATGTATCTTTCCTAATTTCAATACTTAGAAGTTGAACTTTTATTTTGTGTAATTAGCCCCTATTGCATGTTTTAGCTTATTTCTCAGCTTTTGTTTAAATTAAATGGCTTTCGTCACCCTTCAGGTGTCGGCCAGCACGTGACCATCTCGATGTCCCCAGGACCTTGGGGTCGAGGTGTGTCAACAAGTATGCATGAACCTTTATTTCACTACTTGTAATATGTAAAACTGGAATTTAAAGAAAAGTTTTGCAATGTGAGAAGAGGAACAAAAAGGGTTGAGTAGAAAGGCACCAACAAAGGCTCAAACTGTTAAGAGTTTATGTTTTGGAATTCTAGGAATGGAAAAAGAATTGCAGAGACAATCAGAGAAGCACACGCGATGGTGATTCATTCATCAGCTCACACAAAAATGTGAGGGAATATTACCGTTGCTACATGATGGGAGAGAGCAGTTGTACATCAACACAAACTGAACAAAACATGAAAAATCTTGAAGGGTGCGTTTGTTGCACCAGATTATCTCGGACTAAACTAGCTTCAAAGACTAAAGGGGGTGTATTCAATTGAGAATTTGATATACTTTAATGGATTTATAAATTTATGAATTTTTATGGAGTTTAATTGATTTGTAGAGATTTCATATAAAATTTTGATTCAATTCCCTCGAAATCTCATGGGAAGATGTGAGATTTTTTTATGTTTAAAATACACTACGAAATCTCTCTAATTCTCTCTAATTCCCCAACTTTATCAAATTCTTTAAAATCAACCTTGAATTTCAGAGAATTACTTAAAATCTTAATTGAATACACCCTTATAAGTTAGACTAAACTAAACTTGACTGACTTAGTAAAATGTTTACTGTAATATCAAATTAAAGAACATAATCATAACAAAATCTAATATTATATTATTTAATCAATAATAATAAATATTTAATATAATTTAATTCATCTTTATTATTATTTAATTCATACTTTTATCCATTTTTTTCCGTTCTAGAAACCTCCCTAGTCCCTTCGGACCCTTCCTACTTCTTTTCCGTTCATTTCCCTCATCCTTAATAATTTTGCTCTTTCCTTACCCTCTTTTTCTCTCCTCTCCCTCTGTTTCTTCCTAATTTTTCTCCGTCTTAATCCCTTTTTTTCTTCGTCCCTCTCCCTCTTCATCTCCATCATTTTCTTCCTATTTTTCTCCGTTCATCTCCCTTTTTTTTCCTAATTTTTCTAGGACCCAATTGGCAAATCAAAACCCAGATCAGAGTCCCCGTCATCTGGTTATTCATCGGCCTGCTTCTCCGGCATCAACGGCGAAGGTCTGCGATCAGGGAGTCTGGATTGCATGTGTGATTAGAATGATTGTTGCGCATGTGTGATTAGAACGATCGTTGTGCATGTGTGATTGGACAACTGCTGTGCGTAATGAAACGCACAGCGATTTTGTAATTTTCTTTTTGCTTTTTTTTGTTTCGAATTTTGGGTTTGGATCTGGTTATGAAAATGGAAATACTGAATATTTTTTTGCCTTTTTTGTTTCGATTTTTGCGGGATTTAGGTTTGTAAATGGTAGATGAGAGGGAAGAAGCAGGGGCAGAGTTGCGAGAGGGGATCTCGGTTTAGATTCCTTCCCTCTGCTTCCTAATTTTAGCATGGGACCAGATAGCTCACATTTTTCGACTAATCATCTAAAACAAAAAGCAAGCTAGGAGTTCCAAATGTGTAATTTACATGAGAATGACAAGGGACAGAGTTACCTCCGTTTTGACTTGAATTACTAGTTCCATTACATGTGGATGGATAGGCTCGATCTGCGCAAAAGCAACTGAATCCAGAATTCGTAGTAGTGTTAAGCCCACACTGTCCTCCTGATGCCAAACATTTGTTGCATTGATCGTTTTCAATCTGCAATTGCAGTGAGAAACCCCCGTCTACCGCATCGGTGATCGTTGTTTGACCGGCCTCTATAGCAAGAGCTGCTGTTGTATAAACGGGAACAATAACCTCATATGTACAGCTCACAGGAGATGGCTGACCAACTGTCACCAGACGTGTCAAATAGAAAACAGAGCTTGCGTTGCAGGACTGAGAATTAGGAAGCGTAAAGGAGGTAGGGCATTGGTAGTAAAACGTCATGTTTGTATAAGTAGAAACATAATCAAACAGAGAGAAGTTGAGGGTGGTGTTGACGAAAGTTGGATTACAGATACTTCCCCAGTAATCCTGCCTAGCAACCTTAACGGTCCAAGAATTTGTTGTAGTGTTCATTTGCAGAATTCTATAGCTCACACCCTTCATGCTGAACACAGGGACGCTGTCTGGGCATTGGACCTCATATCCGGGTTGACCACAGTAACTAGCTCGGTTTACCCCCCAAAAGGGATAGGATATGCCTCCAACGCTACCACAATTGAGTTTGCTGCTGCAGTTTGTGAATTGTTGATCATTCTGGCATAAACTTAACTCGACGTTGATCGAAAGAAAGGAAGCGATCAAAAGAAATGGAAACAAGAATTGGAGCAGAAAGAAATGCATGATGGATGTTGGAGGAAAAATCTCAGCAAACAGATTGGAGCATCAGATGGAATGGGGAATTAGTACAAGGAATAATATATATAAGTTGTTCAAACTTCAAAGTCATGAAATGTAAGCCTTTGAAATATTCAATGAAACAGTAGCCTCTCTTGTTTCTATGAGTTTTCTTCTCATTTTTTTTTTCAACGTTCATATCTGAATATCTTGCACACCGGCGAATCCGAAGACGCCACGTACTAGTTTAATAATATTTGTAGCCAGTTTCCTAGCCCACCCGGAATGATCTAATTAGAGGTATTTTTATATTGAGGTATGAAAAGTATGTCGTTCCAGTCTTCCAGAAGCTACAGGCAAAGTCAAGGGGTGATGGAGTCATTGAAAGCCGTCGCAACTAGAAGGGTAGTTATAATAAAAAGGAGAAAATTATTTTTCACCTTTTTTTTTAATTACTATATTACAAATGTCAAGAAAATGCCAAGATGAAAACAATAAACAAGAAAGGATTCCACAAGTTGTTCTGTGTGAGAGGGAGAACCCCATAAATAATACGACAGGAATAAAATGTTCAAAAAAAATTAAACAAGTGTTATTTCCAATCCACTGTCTTATTTCTCAATTTACTTTTAATCAAAAGTTTAATTATAATTGTTCGTTTGCATAGTTACCGAAAAGGATCTTGAAATATATATAACGATAAAAGTTTGGGCACAAAAAGGTAACAAGAGCCTTAGATTTACATGGAGTTGTAAAAGGAATGGACAATAAGTGCGCCGAATTAACAAAAAAAGACTTACAAAGGATGAAGACGAAAGGAATTTTGAAACGAAAAAGTGTGGATCGATACCCTTTTCAATCAAATGGTAAGAAGCTATAATTGATGATGATTGAGTATTTATGTTTGATTGCATAATCACATAACTGTGAAGCATTTGGAGGGTCATTGATTTGCTGTGTAGAATTCTAGAACGAAAAAGTGTGGACGCTCTTGCCAATTAAAGGGTAAGAAGCTAGCAATTGATGATGGTTGGATATTGATGGTAGCTAGTTACTAGAGCATTTGGAGGGCCATTAATTTACTAGTAGACTATCGTCGAAGAAGACTTCGTTGTTAGGGAAATAAAATTTCATTTTTTCAGGAATACTATATAATGAGTGGAAAATAGCATATTAGAGATTCGTTTGGAAAGCTTTGTACGTGCGAAGTTACGCGCTTTGTTTCTGTAGGCTTGGGTCAGTTTTTGCAGGAGGGGATTTTGAAATCTTGATTTGTATATTTGGCTATGTGTAATTGGGTTTGATTACCTTTCTTGTAGTACACACAGTTGAAATCCTATTTATAATTTTTTTATGGAGAAGAATACATCATACAGAAAATTCACATAAACTATTAAACTAAGCAATTGATGATGAAAAAAGTGGTTTTTTTTTTAATTAAACAATATTATATACACTAAAGGGACAGGAAAGTAGGCTAAGCCTCACACTCAACTAGCTATAATAATATGGTTTAAATTCGTCTTTGGCGATAATCGAACCAGTACGAATGAATTTAAGTTTCACTAATTTTGAGTTTTTCCTAAAGAGATTGTCCAAAAATGTATATCAATTTCAAACAGGGAGAGATGGACCTCAGACGCTGTCCTCACGCACCTTGAGTACAAAAAAATAAAAAACTAAAAACCAAAAAATAAGTGGTTATCGATCAGACTCTAAAACTCTTAAAAATGTCCCAATCCCTATCTTGTTGCTATAATAATCTATTGACAAACCAATTAAGTAAGGATTAAGACACAGCCGGTTCATCTTTCCAACTGCAAACAACTTCATTATACTTTGAAAGGGACAAGCCCTCAAACTTTGACAAATATCAGCACTAATTTGACCACTAAACTACATGACCCCTAATTGTGATGGAAGGTTAATATTAATTATCTGCATAGCTAAAGTAGACTATCAATTTAAACCACATTTGTAAATTGTGTGATAGTGTTAGGGAGATCAAATTTTAAATCAAATTTGTAAACGAAATGATGTGTCACCAATAAAAAATAAGCACGTTAATCGACACATAATTAATAATTCAATCATCAACAAGTAACAACCACATCATTTGGTTTACACAATTTGATTTAAAAGTTTGGTCTTTCTAGTATTACCCGTAAATTATGTGATGTGTCATCAACAAAAAATAATTAAGTTAATCAATACTTAAGTAATACCTGCATAAATTGTAATTATGGTTAAAAAAAAGGTGTTGCATAAAAATCACTTACGAGTATATTTTTTTTTTTTCCCTTGATAAACTGGTTGTGAAAAGAGCCTTACATAATTTTGATTTTATTTATTTATTATTATTTCTTTAGATGGTTTAATATGCTAAATTTGGACAGTTGACAACAATTTCATTTGTTTCCAAACATTTTATTACCACGATCACATTGCTAATCACTCTCCCTGATTTAAGTAATTTTGTCTACATAAGTATGGAGTCCAAAAAGTGGCTAAAATATTCTTAAAATTGACAGTGACTGAAATATTGTAAACAATTTATACAGTCCCCGCTTGGTATAATTAGTACTTTCAACACTCTTCCTGGCCACTCTAATTCTCCAACATCGGTTACTTTGTTCAAGCAATTTCTAACCATATATGCTCTCCCATCCCCTCAATTTGGCATGGATCCAATGGAGTCACATAATTCCATGGGACAAAACAAAGTAGTGTAGCCGGTTTGGCACACATAGTTGTATGGTACTGATGAATGTTTACCTACTTCGAATAGAAGAAGTCGGGAATTGAATAGGATCCACTACCTTATTCTAATCAATCTAATTCTTGATTTTCTTTAGATATTGAAATACGGACTGTAATGTGGAGATCACTACACGTATTCTGTACGTATGTGGAAGTCATGATTCGTAATAATTCCAGTGACTACGATCTATGCAAGTATTGAAAGTCCGAAATCCAGTCGATGATCACTATACCTAAAAAAGTTTGATGTAAGGAACTCAGTTGCCAAAATTGTTTAGCCTACTGATATTTCCTTTCCCTCTAAGTAATTGTAGGACGAGTTAAGGATTCAAGTTACTAGAAAGAAATTCAGCTTAAAATGCAAAATCAAGCAGAGCTATTGGGTTCTTAGTTCATACCTTTAGCAGGTGGCAGTGGCGCTGCTGCTGGATTGCTTATGGCCGCTGTTCTGGCGGCGGAACAAGTCCGGGGCTCGGAAGTTTGATTTGGGCAGTGACAAACAGTCTCATTCAAATTCCAATCATAACCACAAACACCCTTTGAACCAACACACTCGTCACATTTTCCACTATTCACCTTATACTTCACCTCATACCCTTCTCTCACTGCAGCTTCAAGTGCCGTCACGTTCAGTATACTGATTATTCCGAAACCTGTAGGATCACTAATCCGAACAACTTTTGACTCACAAATCGGAGTGCCCGGGACAGCTGCAGGTACTGCAGCCACATTCGCGTAAGTTTCGTTGTCGGGGCACTTGAAACCTTCAGCTAGTGAGCTAGAAGCACAATCATAGAGTAACGTGAAGTCCGAAGAACCGGAAACATAGTCGAAAAGATTGGAATCGAGTGTGGTGTTCCCAAACTTCGGTGAACAAATTTTGTCATAGTAGTCATCTCTCACAACTTTGAGTGTCTGCTCATCTTGGTTAATCTTCAACAATCTGTATTTGACCCTCATAATCTCAATGGTGGTAACATCATTCGAGCATGCGAGCTTCAGTTCCGGATAGCCACAATTGTCCGGCCTTCCATCTCCCCAAAAGGGAAATCCCACTTTTGTGATGCCTCCACAGTTAAACGTATTGCTACAAGTTGTGTACGAATCGAAGCTTGAGGACAAAGGAATGCTGATGAGAACAAAGAAGGCGAAATGGGATGAGTAAGAAGGCCAGGAACTCATATTTGGGGGAAGAGAGTGTTTGATAGAAATGAAATGAATAGAGTTTGGGAGTTGTGGTTGGAGGTGGGGCGACACTTACAAGGAAGGAACTAGAGATGAGCTAGTGACGTTATGGGAAAAGCTTGTTCAAAGATGGGGATTATGGGACAAATTATGAGTACTTCATGAGGTTTTGTTGACTTATTCTTTTTTAAATACTTTATATACAATCGAGAGTTCTAGAGTTCAAAGGGTGTTATTAATTATGGGTATTCACCATTCACGAATCGAAGCTTATGGGACACGAACCATTCTACACAACGATTCAATAGTTGATTATTTTGGTTTGACTATTCAATACCAAATTATCGTTGTTTCATTTCACTCTACATGTAAGTTAGAAGTATTATGTTCGACTCTCCTGAATGGTGAATACGATACTAAATATAGCTAGCCTATTGTGTATCTTAATTAGCCGAACTCTAGAACTATCGATTGTATATAAAGTATTTAAAAAAGAATTAGTCAACAAAACCTCATGAAGTACTCATAATTTGTCCCATAATCCCCATCTTTGAATAAGCTTTTCCCATAACGTCACTAGCTCATCTCTAGTTCCTTCCTTGTAAGTGTCGCCCCACCTCCAACCACAACTCCCAAACTCAATTCATTTCATTTCTATCAAACACTTTCTTCCCCCAAATATGAATTCCTGGCCTTCTTACGCATCCCATTTCGCCTTATTTGTTCTCATCAGCATTCCTTTTTCCTCAAGCTTCGATTCGTATTTAGTATCGTAATTTGTCCCATAATCAGACTATATTTAGTATTGTAATTTGTCCCATAAGCTTCTCACTTACGGGACAAATGTGACGAGTGTGTTGGTTCAAAGGATGTTTGTGGTTGGAATTGTATAGCTATTAGATTCCTTTTTCCTCAGGCTAACTATAGTTAGTATTGTATTCACCATTTAGGAGAGTCCAACATAATACTTCTGATTTACACGTAAAATGAAATGAAACAACGATAATTTAGTATTGAATAGTCAAACCAAGATAATCAACTATTGAATCGTTGTGTAGAATGACTCGTGTGGTTTTGTTGACTTGATAAAAAAGTGTCATTTGATGCAAGGCAAATATTCTTCACCTCTGCGTGTGATTTTATCGTTTGGGGTTATCTGCTACAAGTTAAGCCAAAATAATTAAGTACAAGCGTATCCCATCAAGCAAAAAGACACAGATTTTAATGGCCTCACAAATTACATCGCGTCGGTTCATCCAACTCCCATCAACCTGATCACATACGGCCTTGCAAGGGTAGTTGGCTCTTAATTAGAAGATATTTAGGTGGTATTTAAGAGGTGTGTTGTCCTTCTTTTTATTTGTTATTTTTTATTTTAGAAATATTGGTAAAAATTAACTCACACCAAAGTGTAGAAATATTATTATTTCCCGTCACTTTCTTTTGATCACACTCACCACAAATATCATTAAGCATAACGTGAAATAAAATCTAAAATTTGAAGAAAATAACTCATATGGAGCAGATCTACAAATCCTAGCAAACACAACCCAAATTCACATAGATCCACCATTGTCAGGAGCACGTATATTTAACTGAAAAGTATAAACATGTATCAAACGAAAACTAAAAAGTAAAAACCCTAGCTACATAATTCTAAAATATTTTGTATTACGATTTTCTAACCAACTTAACTTGTGAAATTAAAAGCATTCACAAAGACTCGTTTCGGGCTTGGACACTATACAGCAGATGCAATTGAAAGAGAAAATAAGAAAATTGCTACTTATCTTTTAAGATGAATGGTATAGAAAGGAAAGTGAGAACGTGACATTTTGGGGTTCGTCGCGTGTTGAGCAAATCTTTATCACTTGGAAGTGGTTCTTGCTCAGTTGCTAGGGTTTTGTTTTCACATTACCTCCTTCAAAATTGTGGTCCGCTCCTCTGAATTTTGTCAGTGTAAATTTTGGGCTTTGATGCTACATTTGATACAGAAGACAAACCTTTGGGCCTTCTTTCGGCAAACAAACAACAAACTTTTAGGTTTATAAAAAATGAAGTTGTTACTTAATACTACGATATAGTAGTATTCCTCTTCAATTGTAAGTGAGAGGTTTTAGTTTTGATTCTCACCAAAGGCGAGTTTGAATCACATTATTGCTAGCACATTGTCAGGCTAAGCTCACCCCCACTCCTTAGTGTAGATAATATAGTTTGTTCAAAAAAAAAAAAAAGAAAAAAAAAGGAGTTTCTCCAGTACACATCACCAAATACCAATACCTAAGAAGCACTAGTTCGGCAAACTGGTGCCGAACTCCAGTCACAAGCAACTTGGAGTGGCTCCAATATGGCTAAAAAATGGAGCGGAGCGGCTTGGAATGGCTCGGATTCTCCAGATTTAGTTGACACATGACTGAGTAATTAGCAGTGGCGACCTCACTCGCGATGAAGAAGGCCCTTGACTAAGGGGCAGTTTGGGATTCCTGTGATTTAAGAATAATCAATTGAAGGTTAAAACATTTGAGCTTTTGATAAATTATATTTTTAAAGAGTATAAAATCAATGTAAAAACATTTGGTAAATTTTAAAATAAGTGATATAACAAAAATAGGTATGATATGAGGTGGTGCCAACAATAACTATGGTGGCGACATTGGTTGGATTGATTGTGGTGGTTGTGGTAAAGGTGTTTGCAATGGTGGTGGCAATGTTGGTGGTGCTGATGTTTCTAGTGGTATAAGGTTGGTGGTTGCAGTTGTAGGTGGTAGACTCGAAGGACGCGATGGTGGCGGTGGGGGTGGCGGTTGTTATGAAAGTGGCAACGGTGGGTATCAATAGTGGGGTCTGGTGGTTGGGGTGCAGAAGTGACAATGGTGGTAAGGGTGGTGACAATAGAGATTGTGGTTGCAGTTGTAGCGTTTATGGTGGCGGCTGCGGGAACGATGATGGTGGGAATGGCAGTGGTGGATGTTGTTGTTATTGTGGCGATGGTTGCAGTTATGGCTAAAGCAGTGGTGACGATTGTGGCAAAAGTGATGATGCAATGATAGTGGTGTAAGGTTAGTGGTAGGTAGTAGCGACTATTTTTTTTTAAAACTAATGAATTGAAAATATTCACTAAAGGCTCAACTTCATTGATTATAAAAGCAGCTTTTAAAAGCAACTTACAGTTACTTATAACTTATAACTAATGTCTGAAGATCATTGTTTTTAAAATAAATTAGAAAATTATAATCTTTTTATGTTAGGGCAAACTAGTCTTTTTCACATCAAAATTTAGACAGAGGTGCTCAATATACTGGGGTTTGCAGAATTGCACTTGTATGCACAGAAGTTACATATTTTTATTTCACATTCAATTGAGAAAACATTTCTCAAAGGGTTGATATTGACATATTTTCATGTGTAAACAACAGAAAACAAGAGAAACAAGTAAAAAGGAGACTAAGACATGGAACCCATCACCCAAAGATTCATGTGATGTGATATGTGAGTCCTTTACAAACAAAACATATGATTTGATTAATTCAACTAATAACCAATATCATTGACAATCCCATTCAGCTTTCTTTCCACCACTTCTGAACAGATTTTGCCCATCATATGGTAGAAGGCCAGCAGATCAGACAACTGCTCCACTGACATTTTCCCCATCACATCCCTTGCCAGTCTTTCTCTCTCCTCATTCAACTTCAATCTCTGTTTGTAGGAGCCTGCATTTCTCACTGTTGCCCCCATTTGCTTCAGTCTGTTCTCCTGCTGTATGCTCAGTGCTGTGTTGGACTGCAGATGAGACAAAAAAAAAAAAAAAAACACATATTTGCATCAATATAAAGTTACCCAAATGAAAATATCAGACACGAGTCCGTCCGATCTAGATCACCCAGTGATTAAAGAATCGTGGTTGCCCACCTTTGAATTTGACATCAAGAGTGGAAATCAAAACACTAAAAAGCATATCTACTTAATCTCCACCATTGGTATTTAAAAAATTCAAGGATAAGTAACAAAGTATTCCTTTAGCAACTGGTAAAAAAAAATTGACAAAAAAATGTAACTCACAAACTTGATAATCTATACCTCAAGGAATTCTGCTCCAGCTTCAAGTTCAGATTCTTTGATTTGATGCATACCACTTCCTAGGCCTCCTGTGTATATGTTTCTTGCAATTGAGAAACTTCTAACAATTTTCTTTCTCCTTTTCTCCATTTCCCCATCCAACTTCAAAGATTGTGGCACTGAAGCTGAACTGTTGAGCTTGTTCTTGTAAGCAATTGCTGCCTTCACAAATTCCTACAAAATCCCATAAAAATTTCTTTAATTCCCTATTAACCCACAATTAATGATCAATATATCTCATATGTCATATTCTATACACAAATTAAAAAAAAAAAAAAAAAATTGAAGTAGCAAAGAGACCTGATAAGCAGATGGGCAACCAGGGTAATCAAACTCATCAGAATCTGGTCTCCTCATTCTCTCTGGATGAAATTGTAATCCCATGATAAATTTACCTTCCTCAGGATTATATGCATCTGGATCATAAAACCCTTCAATCAAACCATCTGGGGCAAATGCCATTGGCACAAATCTCTGTGCTAATTTCTTAACGCCTTGATGGTGATAGCTATTAACCCTAATCTCCATCTTCTGTTCCCCTGATTCCAAGGACTCCTTAAACCAATGGTGCAAAGGAGTCTCCTCCACCACCTTCACCACATGCCTATGCCCATCATAGTCTTCATAATTTATATGTTGCACATAAACACCATTTTTTGGATCATCAAATTCCAAGTGCTTTTTCGAGAGCTCTCTCTCGATGTCTTGGTAAAGGGTTCCTCCACATGCGACATTCAAGACCTGTGAACCTCTGCATATTCCCAAGTAGGGTATGTTCCGTTCCAGGCAGAGCTTCGCCAGCCTCAATTCGATCGAGTCTTTTTCTTTGTCGATGGCTGTGTCGCTTGCATGGAGCCTCCTGATTTCCTCCAACTCTTCAGATGAGAGGCCTGAGACGGCGACCTCAGTCTCGTAGAGAGACGGGTCGATGTCTTCTCCTTCGCAGAGGAGAACTCCATGGATGGGCTCGAAGCTGTCCAATAACATGTGCACCCCATTTACTCGGGGCACGATTACTGGTACTGCTCCATAACCTACTATAAGATCAAGATGGTATTCACCTAAAACCACATGCGCGCAAAAGATTAATTAGTAAACCATGCATTACGATTACAACAAAACATTAAAGTAAGTGGTGTATTGTCCTGGTGAATAGGTTTTCGTATCCAACAGCTCAAACCTTTTCGCTTCCCTAATTTAGATTAGAATAGAAATATCGTTTGTAATAAAAACGTTAAAATTATCAAGAAAAAAAAGAAAAGAAAAAGGATTTGTTGTTGTTATGGGGATTGAGAACATACCCACAAAATCTACGAACTTGTTCTTGCGAAGGGTACGTCGAGAGACGATGAGGACGCGAGGGAGGATGACAGAGAGATCAGAATTCATGGCGGTGGTGCACGATCAAAGTTATTGTTGTTTGGGTGTCTTGATTAATTTAATTATTTTCAGGGTTAGAGGAGAAGAGGACGAATAAGTAGAAAGAAGTAGAGAGCTTGATTTACTAAAATTAGGGGAGGATAGGATAAGAAAGCCAGAAAAGAGCGCTATTTAAAGAAGATTGGAAGGAGGGGTGTGCGTAGTCTTGGCGCCGCATACATCTCCCCAGTTCCGCCGGTTTGTTGAACAAAATTAATCAATTATATAAAAATTATTATTTCTTATTGCAATATTTATACACATTCGATTTACCTACTACATAATTGTATTTTGATATACCTATCATCATAATTAACCATTCATAACCAAAACATGTTTCATAAAAACCCAAAAAAGGAAAATACATAATTAAATTATCCCTTAAATTTCATAATTAATTATAGAAGATCAAAAATAATTTATTATATAATAGATAATTATTATTGGCACTCAAAAAAATATAATTGTGACATCCAGAGTGATCCTTATATCTATATTCTTATCCCTACCTAGCACGAGGCCTTTTGAGAGCTCACTGGCTTCGGGTTCCGTGGGAACTCCGAAGCTAAGCGAGTAACGCGCGAGAGCATTCCTAGGATGGGTGACCCATCGGAAAGTTCTCGTGTGAGTTCCCAAAAACAAAACCGTGAGGGAATGGTAAGCCTAAAGCGGACAATATCGTGCTACGATGGTGGAGCGGGCCCGGAAAGTGGTCCCACCCGAGCCGGGATGTGACAATAATTGTGTACTTCAACCTTTCTATATTTTAAAAGAAAAAAAATACTCTTTATGAGGAGTGCACAATTAAATTTTTAAAGTGCAAATAGTAGTTCCCGTATAATATTGCAATTCTTATCAAATAATTATATGGAGAGAACATGGTTTTAGCGATCCTTATCAAATTATTATACCGTGCTTTTATCATAATCTTAATAAATAATTTTCATGCAAGGGATTGCCCTAGTGGTTGAAGACTTTATCCGTACAAACTTTCCTCTAATGTAGAATCTTGTTTGTATTCGACAAAAATAAAATTAAAGAAAAAGAGAAGCCTATACGAAATTTGATTAAATATAGAATGATTATGTAAAATAAGATGTGAAGCATATCCGGGAATAAGTCAATCATTCCCCAACGCTATTCTCCTCCAAACAACATTGTATTCACTCATTCAATTGTAAATAGTGTATTTTAAATAGTTAAATACCATATTTGAGTAGTAAATTAGAAAACAAAATCATCTCTCGACAACAAAAAAAAGAAAATTATACAATCTATCACCTTACTGGTGTCATGTTTTAATTGATTCTATCTTTACCATGACCCCCTTCAATTTCAATGAATGGCATCAATTTCCACACAAACTCTAGCATATTCTCTCGAGGGGAGGAGGGAGGTAATGCCTTGGGGCCACGACCCCCCTCTCACTCAGCTTTTGGTTGTAGAATTTTTGTATTAATCATATTAAATAGAGAATAATTTCTCTTTAGTTCTAATTGAGTGCCCCTCCTTTCTTCTTCGTTGGTAACTCACTCTTATGTTTACATCTTGTTGAGTAACATATATTTTGTTAACTACGAATGAGTATGACACTGTTAATACAACAATAAAAGAAAAACTAAATAATAGAGTAACAAAATTAGATATTTTGTAACAAATATTGTCAGAATTTGTAAACATGAGCTTGCTTTGTAAAAAAAAAAAAAAACAAAAAAAAAGGAGCTTAAATTTTTAAGGTGCCCTCTCTTAGTTAGATTTCTGGCTCCACTCTCTGAATCATACCTTTAAAAAGCTTGATTCCTTAAAGGTAGTAGTCCCTAATAATTTCTCCTTGAAACTCAGAGGAGGGTTAAGATTCAAACTTGGAATTTCCTCTACAAAATCATCTTCAAATCGAACCTCTGACCTAAAACGCTTAGCCACAGATCCAGGAATTACATCACTAGGATTTCTGCTTTCCGACGGCCGAATTCGAAAAGGAGAAAAGAAAATTATGTTGGGGATAGATTAGCAGGAAGCAGTCCTTCTTTAGAGTATGGCTGTCATATTTTTTAGGCTGGTGTTGGTGGTTGATAGACCCAGATTTGTTTAGTTGTTTTTGTGTTTTGTGGTTGTAGGCCTACATTTGTAACCAAAAAAAAAAAAAAAAAAAAGAAAAGCGGCCTTGTTTAAATAACAAAAAACTGTAAAATGTCATTATGTTATAAATTAGAAAATTAGTTTAACAATAAGTTCAATAATAAGTATAAAATCAGAACTAATTTAGTAATTTAATTACAAGTATTTTATCCTTTTTCATGTATATCTGATGGCTGCCATCACTTGAAGCGTTTCCAAGAAAATATTCGAATGCAATGAACGGATATTTCATAAGAAGTACAATTTAATCGTCAGTATATTTAATTAAGTAGGCAAACTCAATTCGAATACTTCCATATTACCGTTACACACGTACATTGTATAGTTGAGTGAGTGGAAAATCGAGCAACAAATTTAAAACAGTTTTCGTTTTGGAGTTTGGATGAATGCAAGGCATGCTTTAACTTTATGATTCATGCATGGTGATGCACACACACACAAATACATATACATATACATATATATATATATATATATATATATTGTGAGATATGTTGCATGCGTTGAATTTTAGGTTTTTATTCGGTTGGGACTTGAAGACATGGAAATGCATGCAAGTCGTGGAAGTGTGAAGAGTAAGAGGTACTGTTGATGAATTAATGCAGCTGGGAATGACGGACATTTGGCTTTCAAGTTTTGCATGGATAAACTGACGTTAAGTCGATGGGTTTCAAACTTTCAACTAAGACGGGTCAAAGCTGATCAGAAGCTGACTGGGGAATACTTTAACTACTACTTCGGAATTGGAGAATTCGACAACTGGATTAGCATGCATGGAGACATATTCATATTTCTGATGTGGAGGTAACACCCGGGGATCTACTTATTTGGTGGTGAACTTATCCACTTTGCTAGACTATTCTATTTCTGGTAATATGGAGATCATGAATTTTGTGTATATTAAAATGCGTATCCTTAATTAATATTGAACGAAGACAACACATTATGTGTGTGTGTGTATAAATTTTAAAAGAAAAAAAATAAACTATAATATGAAAACAGAGAAATTGGAGAGAAATGTGAGAGCAAAAGAGAGAAAATAATAGCGTTGATTCTTTCCTCATAATCAAATCCACTATTTTGTATACAGTTTCTTGTCTAAATATGGTGGGTTTCATGTTGGCATAACTTTAACTTGCGGTAGCAACTGCCTTGTTGTGTGAAGTGGCGGATTTAAGATTCCAACATCGGAGGGTCCTAATTAAGATACGCTAGGTGCTAATTAGGGCGGTGGGTTAGGACCTAGCGCCTATGTGTCTAAACGGGATCTAGATGGATTAGACAAATTTAAGTAAATTTGTACATCTTATAAATAAGTGTATGTTTACACTTAAAAAAAGAAAAAGAAAAAAAAATGGGGAGTTGGTCACTTGGGAAATGAAGCAAGAAAGTCTTTCTTCTTTGTTGGAATCAAAGTCCAAAGAACAACAAAGGCATGATAGCCTTCTTTGTATTCATCTTCGTCTAAATTAGATCTTTCTTCTTGGTGCAAAGCTTCTGTTGCACAGCCATGATAGTCTTCTTTCTTCCACCACCTGTCCAGACTGTTTGGTGATTCTCAAATGTCATAACAAGCGCTTCTTCCGATTTTCGAATGGTCCCAAGATCACCTAAGTCCATGAAAAATAGCTGCCAAACTTGATTGATGGCGTGCTTAGTTGTATATGGCAACTTAAGTGAAGCACATTGTCTTTACATGTCCTCAACTGAAAAGTCGGTCAAACTATACATACTAAAACATGTTCTACATGACTGCCTTCAGATAGAAAGTATACTCTGCATAGTTTACAAAATTTTCAATTATTATCTTTACATTATTCTCTTTAACAATTATTATATCATATTACCAGTCCTTTAACAATTTATATAAAAGTTTACCAAACAATTCGACATTATTTTTTTTTTTTGGTTAAAAAACTTTAACAAAAAAAAAAATTTACCAAACACTTAACAAATTTATTTTAGAACTATTTATTCTCACGGTACAACAACATAAACAATTTTTTTAAAAGCACAATAATACCAAACTAGCCCTAACAGAAATCAAAAGTATTCCTCGAGCAAGGGCAGAGCCAAAACAAAATATCATTGGCAGCAATATAAAAGAAAACATCGAAACTGTATCAAACTTTTGTTCATTGCAAATAGAAATCGAGCGGAGCATCATGCCCCTGGCGTCAGGTTATGGTCCGCATGATTACGCAGTCATGTATCTATACATTTTCCAGTTTTAATGTGCGATAAATTTGGAAGTATGAAGTGACACCGTCATCTTAAAGGTGAAGTTGGTACTGGTACTCAATGAGGATGTTGTTGCAGCAAGAAGCAAGAAAACTAATCCTTTCTGCAGCAGGGTTTCACACAACACTTGATTCCCTTCACAAATAAATGGATGGTCTGGTCCTTGATATGCCTCTGAGCTGAACCGACTCTCGAGCTTGACCATGAAGAATAAAATGTCTCTGCATTCTCTCTGGAGAAGCCATTACTGCTAAGGTCCAGTAGCTGCAAATTTTTTGCCATACTAACGGCAGTAGAAAGCTCTTGAATAAACTGGCTCCTAGGAGACGAGGAAGTACTTTGCCACGGGCTTGTGCAGCTGTCGTCAAATTCATGTGCAGCAGTTTCAACTTTTTCTTGATCATCTTCACTATCAGCAACTTCAAGCATATCTAAATCAGTGTTCGCATGGCAGGAATCCGGTTGAGCAGTATTAGCTTCCTTTGGTGCAGATGAGGTTGGAGTAGATTCAGAGTACTGTTTTTCCACATTGGCGTTGTCAGCAAGGTTTAGCTCTTCAAGACAACCATTATCTGCTTGAAACATCAAACAACAAATTATTAGTTCACTTCTAGGGACTAATGTTTGGGAGTTAGGACAGAGGGGTGAGCTTAGTGGTGTGAACCCGATAGTGCTTGGATTATTCGAAGAATTCCAGCAGTACCAAGCTTGCACTTTTGAAGGGACAACACTTTCAGAGAACATTGAGAATCCAAAAGCATTGATGATAACGCATTGCTACCCTGTGTTCATAGTTATGAAATGGAATTAATTAGAAAAGCATGGACAACCCTTTTTGTCTTGGTAAGATCCAAGAAATTCTCTCATAGCAGAAGCTCATTCTTAGATTAGCAAAGAGACTAATGACAACATTCTTCGGGCTTATCAGGGCTATATCTGCATGTAATTCTATATAAGAATGATCTAGATCAGCTTTTGACTGAGACAACTCAAATACAACCGTCTTTTAGACTCAACTTTTATGGTAGTGAAGCTGACAAGCAAGTTCATATTTGAAACTTATAATACAATTTCCAGTTTTCAGACATAGTATTACTTGCTGCTTCTGCCACCAATAAAAAGCGGTTTCTAGTTGCAACAGAGAGCAGAAACAAGACAAACATAACAAGTTTGACATTTAGCAACCCCCGAGTCAAAAGAACAAACCTCCTCCATGATAGGATTTTCCGAAAGGTTCAGCTCAACAATGCCACAGATCATCGAAGAATCAGTGCTTAGTTTGTGAACATAATTCGACGTCACTTCACAATTTGAAAAGTCAAGTTTCACAAACTCTGAAGTTTGGCTGAACAATGACTCAGTTAATAGTAATGCCCCATCCTTCAAAAGAACAACAAAATAAACAAAATTGGAAAAAAGCCAGAAAGGAGTCGGAGAATATGCCTAATGATGTAAATCAAACAAAAGTGAGAAGTTAGTGCAAAATGACAGTGCACTCACAATACCAATTCCAGTCTCCCGAAGACTTAATCCTGACAAGGACAAGGTTTTAGCAAGCTTGCAAAGGCTATCTACTACAGACTGTTTTAGCTTCAGTCCATTCAGACTTAATTTTGAAAATCTGCATAAGAAAGAAATTTGTATATTCGCACCAATTAGTGGATAGAGTTACCTATGCATACTGAAAGAAAGATTGATTTTGTTTAGATCTAAACCTTTTCAAAGTGCCAAGCTTGGAAAGTAAATTAATGATGGTATTTTCGCGAATTGAGTTATATCCTGTGAGAAGGAGAGGAATTGAGACAACCTATTAAGTGATAAGAAAAATAGTCCAGCCACTAATGTGTATTGCAATTACCATATGTCAAGCATACCTATACAAAGTTGCTCAAGCACAGAATCAGCATTCAATGCATTGGCAACCTTTTCAATTGTTGTAGACGTGACAGAACAGCACTCTATGCTCAAGCTGCAAAGAGCTACAAAGCAAAGTCCCATATAAGCAGGGATGATTGAGTGTTACTTTGAACAAAATCCATTAAAAGAACTAGATTTACCAAGAGGCATATACGCTACTACACATCAATAAGGAACAGAAAAAGTTTAAATGCTTGAGCTTCACGGAAAGCACTTTACCCTTGCAATTTTCCAAGATAATGGAGAGGCAAGATGCACATCTATCAGTGAGAGGATTTTCAGAGATATTGAGCACTTCCAATCGAGCAAATAGCAAAGGGCATTCACAAATCTGAAGATTGAAACACAGAAAATGGTTGGGGATGAGTGAGTACAAAAAGGCCTTACCATTGTCCTGATAACAGAAAATTAAATTATAGTTCCTACTGAAATAGTCATTGCATATAATAAAGCTACAAAAATCCATGATCCAATAGTCATTGCATATAATGAAGTTTCAGTCCTTAACTGGTTAGGGGAAATTATTCATTTACCATTTTTTACAAACTTAAGCCATTAGACTATGCAATAACAACTCACATTATAATAGCCTGCATTAGGAGCTTAGGAGGTGAAAATTACAAGGACGCAAACTCCAGATCTCTTGCTTTGATACCATTATTCTAAAAACTTACTGGAACAGAGTTAGATACTGGGGAGCATTTTGGGCATCAGTTTTGAATGAGTTCAGGGATTATTCCTGTTCTTCTACGATGATGGATGTGCTAGCAGCTGTAGAATGAGTTTGGGTTAAAACTTTGATTTTTGTAAATTAGCCCATTTTGAGAGGTCTGATATGGTACATTAGGTTTGATCTTAGATGGTGGATTTCTTATGCACAATATAGCCAACTGGCAACAAACAAAATGATAGATGAAGTTTCAGTCTTTAACTGGTTACAAGGAAATTATTAGTTTGCCATTTTTTCCGAACTTAAGCCCTTAGACCATGCAATAGCAACTCAAATTGTAATAGCCTGCATTAGGAGCTTAGGAGGTGATAATTACAAGGATGTAAACTCCAGATCTCCTGCTTTGATACCATTATTCTAAAAACTTACTGGGATAGAGTTAGATACTGGGGCATGAGTTTTGAATGAGTTCAGGGATTATTCTCGTTCTTCTAAGATGATGGATGTGTTAGCAGCTGTAGAATGAGTTTGGGTTAAAGTTTTGATTTTTGTAAATTAGTCCTATTTGAGAGGTATGATCTAGTACATTAGATTTGATCTCAGATGATGGATTTCTTATCCACAATATAGCCATCTGGCAACAAACAAAAGGCGGGAGAGAGTTAAAGTTCACTCTTGCTTACACTTTTTCTTGCATAAACTCAATACTTGGGAAAAACATGTAGGTGAATCAATCAAAGAAGTCAGCCTAAGCTTTAACATAAAAATTGTTGCAACGCTGGTTAAATACCTGAGCCAAAGAATTTATACTAAATCGGTTAGAGTGGAGATCCAACATCAACCCAGCATACTTTTGGCTTGATGATGTGATTACTTGCTGCAGCTTCTTCATTGTATCAATTCCTGGAAAACAATGAGCCAATAAACGGTTAGGACAGCCCACAATTCCTGGGATAATTTTTAGGCCTGAGTCTAGGTGAAGAATGTTTACAGAAAGGCTACTCCATAATTTCTAGTCCAGAAGCAACATTTTCAAATCTAAATAACCATAGCCTAGAAATCAGATGCTATAGTGTTACCTAATGCATTGTGAGAAAGGTCTAGCATTGCAAATGTTTTATCTATACGCAGGGCATCCAACAATGGGGCTAATGAAAAGTCTTGCAGTCCACAATCAGACACACTAACATCATCATCTGAGACCTGACAGACGAAAAAAATACCACAATCAGCAAATAGAGTAAAGGTCCAAACAAAAATATGAGTTTATCATCTCACAATAGATTGTCGAATACAGAACAAGGATGCCCTCACTCAATTTTCCTCCAGCCTTACCTCCTGCTCATAGAGTTTCTTAAGCAGCTTCATATTGGGTGTCGCAGATGACTTATAGCAGCAATCAGTGTATAGTTTTATCAACCTCTTTTGAACCCATCCTGTGTTGGTAACAGGTGAAGTTGGATTGCATATTAACATACAAGAAGTTGGAAAATAATATATTTCCTTTTAGAATCTTATGTTATCCCTAGCAGAAACTATAAATAAATATACAAAAAATCTAAAATCATATGTACATATCACTGCAAACAGAAAACCATAAACATCCAAGTTGGAATTTGGAATCATGACATCATGGACTCTGAAAAGTATTATCTGGTTTGCACAATCCACAAGAAAGTAATAACCCCACAGAACCACAAGAAAATCCCAGGAAAATAAAAACAAATCAGATGCATTGTAAAAATAACTCCAAAGGACTAGTTTGTTGATTGCAATTACAAAATAGTACATTTTTTAATAGGATTACAATTATAACATAACCATGTTGTATCCAATTGAATAGTGCCTTCAATCAGTTAAATCTTAAATGACGTCATTTATTTTGAATGAGTTGCATTTCCAACAAAACAGAATAGAACACAGTACATATCTAAAATAAAAGAAGAGTTCAAATAGACATGTCATTTAAATGAAGATCAGAACATATGAAGTGAGCTTTGAACTGTTGGAGCACATACCATCAATAAAAGCTTCAACCAAGGCTTTCCCCATATGCTGCTTAAGCATTTCAAATGCTTCCAGGGATTCTACAACTCTCTCACCCCATTTTATATTCTTTATTTTTGGAAGCAGCCCTGAAAATCTGAGTATTAGTACAATCACAAGACGTTTTGAAGAAAACAGATCATTTAACATGAGAGAGAGAGAGAGAGAGAGAGAGAGAGAGAGCAATAAAACATAATGGTGCCAAACTCTTAAGGATAAAACCTAGAAAAATTTAAGCATTCAATTTAGACACATGAAATGAACTAAAGAGCACATAAAAAGTTCCATATGCAGGCAAGCTTAACCATGTCTAAGCGACTTGGCCAGAATTTGTAGTGCACCACTGAGACAAAGTGGCCTACTCTATTAATTGTGAAATCACCAACTTAGTATGATTATTTCACCAACAACACCTCTGTATGTGCCACAAATACATATAACAATACAGCAAAGTTATTTAAAACACCCTAGTGTTTATATCATGCACAACTACCTAGTTTTCATCTTGGAGAATAGTGAAATGTTTTAAAAAACCATTCAAATTCTTTCTTTCCTTAAAAATGAATACAAATAAAATAAAAATCTCTGTATGAATAACATATCCGCTGCAATTCAGTGAATCATCTTGCCAACATTTTAGTGATATAAATACTAGCAACTAGAAACATGCTAAACTCGACTGATGCCTACCCTCTGATCTTCTTTCAATAGGAAGCCGTAAGTAGTATAAGCATGCCAGTTCAGTCTTGATAGACTCAATGCTTAACTTATCAGAAAATGAGCCATAATCCAAATGTATTAGGTCTCTGTCAATCTTGAATGTAATGCATTGCTGCAATTAACGAAGAAGACCACAATTTAGTAAATAATACAACTAAAAAACAGTGGCAACAAGGAATCAGAGACATAGAACCAAATAGAACCATCTGCATACAAGTGAGTTGAGTAGCACTCACATTGTGTTCATCGTCAGACGTAAGAAACATAAGATGGGCAGCATCATTGTCATACACTACATTTTTAGAGACACTGGTGTCACCTTTAGAGCCATTAGCAACAATAGGACTTCCATCGGATCTTAAAGCATTAAAACCTTTGCTTTTTTGAGTGACCAAACTAAGATTCCTGGATTTGCATGAACTAGAGCTTTGTTCAATATCAACAGGATCGCAAAACCTCATGGCACCATTTGTGGTATAGGCTGAGACATCCTACAAACCCCAAAGAAGTAAGCACTTAAAATACATCTACAACACTAGGGCGACAATAATCTCCATGATTAATCTGATACTAGCCCTACCTGAAATATACGAGCAGGACTGGCTGTGTTACTTTTACTCTTCACTGCAACCAGATAAGAAATATAATTGAATGTTATGGCTTTTCACTGTGGTTATAATTGAAGGTCAAATTAAGTCATGATTAAAACTTACATTCATCAGATGTAGCAACAAATTCTAATGGTTGTTTCTTAGACCAGCTTTTTGAGCAGGGTACCTCATCTTGCATTTCATCTTCATCATCAGAAAGGACTAAACGAACACGTTTACGCCCAATGACTGTCTGCTCATTGGTGTCTGTCTTCGACAAATTTTTTGATGAAACATTTGTCTGGATGGTGTTATTTTGTTTTCCTGAAGGAGGGGATTTCAACTTGAGTGAATCTTTGGTGGAACATTTGAGAGAAATTAAAGGTTCATCATCGTTTAACTCTTCCATACTGGCTAAAGACTGTGATCTGCTGGAACTAGATTTTCTAATCTCTGAAGAACAGCATGCATTATGCACACCATCTGACAGATGACCACTCCCTTCTGTATCAGATTCAGAGCAGCGATCCTCTGCCACATTCTCTGTTTCAAGATCTTTATGTTCTGATTTCTTCAATTCTTTAATACGAAACTGCAATCTCCTACAAAAAAAACCATCTGCCTTTAAAAACAACTTATAGAAAACTCCATCCAAAATATGATGCAACAAAAAATTCTAATACACAAACCACTCGGTAATTATTTTCCATCTGAAGAACTCGACTTCACCCTATTTGGATAAGGGGATCGCACGAATTACCTGGCTTCTTCCACATTGTCAAATCTTATCATGTGACTATAGTGCATATTTTCTAGTGCCATTAGCTGCACCGAAGGAAGGTTAGCCTCAACAGCAAGCCTGCAGGACAGTAGTATGAATTCAACACAACCCTTGAAAGCAAGTAAATTTCATTTTAGGTCAGAAAAGAAGTAAGTTTCTTTCGGAGGTCATAAAAGAAAGTTATACAGTTATAGCCAAATTTATAATTGAATGGTACTCTACCTTAAGAGCTAGAGTAAGTACCAACAGCTCATTTATGGAAAACAAACTCAACACAACCCAAATACTGAGGTTGGCTACATGACTCTTTCACAAACACCTTGGGGGTACTCAAGAGTCAGAATGAACTCTCTTTCATATAAGTTTCTAATATAAATCCCCTATCATAAATAAATTTCAATTCATTTTTGGTTTGGACGTTTTTTTGTTTTTTTCTCTCAGTAGTGAACTCCCTGAGAACCATTAGGACACACGGTATTACTTAGGACTGCTAAACTTTTAAAATGAATAAAAGAATATCTGAAAATCATATCAAGATATCACACACCATGTGAATTGCGATGACAATGTTAAAACTAAAAGCAGCAGTTTATAAAAGTGAACAAGGGAAACTTGAATTGAAATAAAATGTGCATTGTGATCAAGTACTATCTTTAAGGTTCTTAATGAGAATTACTTAATGCGAAAATTAAAGGGGCTGGAAACGCAGTTTTTAACTCAATCCCTCCAGCATTAACTCTGTTCAGTCTGAGAACAAGCTGGTTCTGGTTTGGAAAACTACTAATCATGTACATTATAATACTAGGAAAACTGGTGCATTGCTTTCTATTTAAACACCTATGTACTCTATCACTGAGCTATGAAAAGATAATATTCCTCTCATTTTCTGGAATTTATTTTTGATATGTTGAATATAAGCATACTCTCCACGCCCTACAACAACACCTACAACTTCTTTGTCATGTGAAAATGCATTTTGGAATATTTTTTTTTTATAGCAAGTTGTCAATGAAAATTATTAGACTGCAAAAATAAATGAACAGAACATTAAAAGCAATGTGACCCAATTGCTCACAGGTGTTCATGATATCAAAAGTTTGTATTTCACAATTTCCTATGCATGCAACAAGGTGGGTTTTGTGCTGAGCATGGTGATTAGAAAGCTTCTTTGTTATCTTCCAATTTCAAAAAGAAATGTCCACTGGAGAAACCATACCTGTAGCCCTCTTCAAATGCATCTAGTGCTCCTTCCAAATTATCAACACTGTCTAAAACATCACCTATATTAACTTTGGCTAACGCCTGCCCCTGAACATTACCAGTTTTAAGTAAGCATATAGTAACAGTGGATGTACAGTACAAACATCAACTTGATTGAAATACATGAATGAAATCCTAATGTTGCCTAGCAGGACCATCACGATCTCTACTTACATGACATAGCCTACACCAAGCTTGCCAAAGTCTACTAAGAATTAATTTAAGCAAGTTTCAAATCCAAATTACTTCTTTTCCAAGGACACAACTACTCATCATAATGTATAATGTTATAAAACATACACCAACTTACCTCCAAATTGCCAATTGACTTGTATTTCTCCAAACTCTTCGTGCACCATTTAAGGGCTTTCTTGAACTCTCGTAGGTTCTGGTATGATTCTCCAATAACCAAAAGTGAATCACTGATCTTTTCTTGGTCATAAAGCTCACTTGCTAAAACTTTCTTCTTTTTTGCAAATTCAAGGGGCTGAAAAATAAAATTTCACAATAATGAAAAGCATTGCTCTTGTTCACAGAGGAAGAATGATCTTTACTTCCTGGCTATGAATTTTCAGTTAACTTATCCATTATTGCATTCAACTTTCAAGAATAAGGGATGTTAGTGAGATGATTAAAAATGCATTTTTTCTTTTGGTAACAGAAGACAATTGCTGTATTAAAAACAATGATGTTCATGAAAGAACCCTTCTTCATAATCATCCTAGAGACCTCCCTAACAGCATATAATACCAACAAGATTCGTCACCATCAAAATCTTTCCAACCAAAGAATAAAGCAGCATGTGAATGAGTTTTTACAGTTTGAGAAATACAACTAATTGTGCAAACCACATGGCCAAAAAAGCCCAACCAAAAAAGCAAATTTATCCAACAAATTGGACAAAAGTGAGTGACTGTTCATCGGAACAAACACTGGCAGATTCATTTGGTTGAGGGTCAATTTCATTGAAGCTGAATAATCAAAGAATTTATCCTACAGAGCAGAGTTGGAAACAAATTTGGTGAAACACACCCTTGAAGACCATATCCCAACCCGATTGGTCTACTGACAGAGAATTTAGGAATGCAGAAGAAACTATATACATATATATGCTTGATGAGCATAACTATCTCACAATGCAACATGCAGCCTCATATGTCGCACTAAAATATAAAAGGATTTCTTTTCTACCAACAAAGATATATTTAAGATAGAAACAAGATACTAAATGGACAACATACAGTTCAAAAGAGTAGAGAGTGAGAGAAAACATATTGAGTCAAGTATGTACCTTTGGCCAGGCCAAGATCATCCTTGATTTCTCAATCAGACAATCAAGAGAAGCAATTTGCTGCAGCAGACACTTCCTCTCACGTGGTGTGCCTCTTGCACTGGCCATGTCTCTCATTAGCTTTTTGAGATTCTGCTCTTCTTTCTTCAGCCCATCCATTACTTTCCTGGCTTCTTCTACAGTCTCAATATTTTGATCAATTTGCCTGAGTAAAGCATCCTCATCTTCCATTGATTTTGCCAGTTCAAGTGCTTTTTGGTAGCAATGGATAGCTTCCTCATACTTCTGAATTAGGTAATGCAATTCACCAAGATTGATGTACCCCTTTGCCTCCCCTTGACAATGCTCGATTCTTTTACATATCATAATGTCCTTCTCAATGTGTTCTCGAGCATTATCCCACATCCTCAGCTTTATGTAAACGTTTCCAAGGTTGTGATGGAGCCTGCTGCGCCCAGCATCATCTTCCATTACCTCCTCTTCGTCACAAATCTCTAATCCTTTAGTTAAGACTTTCCGAGCCTCTTCCCAATTGTCAAGATCAAATTCAAGCATTCCTATATTGTTATGGGCATCAATATATTCCTCAACGAAAGAATTATTAGAAGGTGGGTTCTCCTTGATCATCTGTGCAAGCTTCATAGCGGACTTGAAATACTTTTTGGCATTCCGAATCGAGCAATGTTCATCAATAGACCTTAAAAACATTTCATGGTAGGTACGACCTAGTTGGGTATTGGCCCTTTGCTGCTCAACAAGATTATTTTCATCCTCAGCGAGCTGTAAATGTTTTTTCTACAACAAAAAGAGGTGAAGTCTCAAATTTTTTCTTCTCCAAAAGAACTAATCATACAACTATTCCATCATAAACAAAATAAGAGACGCTAAAGAATTTAATTCCCTTTTTAAGACTACACAGAGGACAGAACCATATGAAAATCCCAAACAACAAACCGAAAAACTTGAACTCAGCAATTATAGGTACTAACCAGATCAATGGGTCATCATCCCTTTCACCTTCATGCATTTTCTCACTAACCAAACAGATATATTTTCTCACTAACAAAACCTCTCCACTCAGCTCATCATTTTTTAATCAAATTAAGAAGTAGGATACTTATTCACCCGAATCTTCCCCAAATTTCTCAGCGACCAACCAGAAAACTTTCCCATTGCCAATACATTCTTAATACCAAAATAAACAAAAATTCCCAGGGGAAAAAGGACTCCAATCGAATTGAAATTCACACGAATCGAACCCAATCGAGAAAATACCTGATAAATAAGAGCCTCTTTGAAGCACTCGAGGCGAAGATAGAGCTCGCCGAGGGACTGACAGGTGGGGAGACAATGCTTTTGGGGCAAGTACTTGACAGATACATCGTAGTCGATTCGGAGCCACTGGAGGGCCGCCACGTACTCCCCTCTCTTCTTCAACATGTCGCCGATTGCGTTTGCCCACCGGGCCTCCTCCTCGTGGTTCCCCACCGCCTTCGCATTCCGGTATGACTTCTTCGCCGCCGTCAGCTGCGCATCCTCCCGAGGCATTTCGTTTCTCTAATTCGTCGGAGGGATTCAGAGAGATCGGAATGTATGTGTGTTTGAGTGTATATATATAAATATATATATATATGAGACTCTGACGTTTCGGCTTTTGGAATTGGAAATTTCAGATGGAGGGCACAACTCCCGCCAAAACAAAATCTATGTGGGCCGGGCCAGATTTTTTATTGTTTTGGTACAATGGATCGGAAGGGCTACGGCCCAAAAAGGAAACTGCAAAAATGAACAAATGGACCATTGGGAGGCGAAAATTCTCGACGTGAACGGTAATACTATTGCGATCGATGTTTTAACTGAATATCAACGCCACATAGATTATTGTGAATATAATGTTAGTACTGACATCACATTAATATTCGGTTGCAATATTTTTGTTCTCATCGCTCTGTGTCTTGAATTTGGTCTAAAGAAAGTCTCCATTGGAATATCTTCAAATCAAATGTTAATTTAAAACATCAAATGATATTTGAGGGCTATGTGGTAGTTTGACATTTTGCAAATTTTTTGATCTACCCGATACGGTTAAATAATAATGTCATTCTATATTTATTTATTTTTTATCTCTTTGTGAGTTCAATTATTTAGACAACCAATCAAATACTTAGAACACATAAAAACACTTATTATATATTGCATCATATATATTACAAAATCATTAAATAAATTTGACAGCATAAAGTTTTGCGTTCAATTAACTCAACGTCACGTAAGAAACTAAAGACTCAGTTGGAGAGAATTTGCTGGTATTTTTTACTATTGTATGTCTATGTGGCAATTTTGACATCTCCTTTAAAAATGATTTTAGGAGAAATTGCAAAATAAACAACTCTAGATGAAGATCCAATTCCTGCCAATTTGTAAGGCATAGTTTTCTACTATGAAAAAATTGAGGTTTTACTATAAAACCAATTAGCAATATGAAGAGTAAGTAAACTTACTTATAAGTTCATAAAAAATTCTTCCTCCGATCAATGTGAAATTCATTTTTAACATCGTTTATGTGCGGACATGGAAGCACATAAATTTGAAAGAAGTAGAAATGAGCTATTTATAGTGAATATAATAAGTAAACAAACTGTAGGTCGTCACATGTAAAAATGTGGAGCAAAAGTTGATGAAATATAATTATATATGCATTGCAAGTGGCTTTTACCATAGTGGTGGAAATATATTAAGCTCTTGCATGACTGTCTACGTTCGAATCTTGTTGATGACTAATCTAACACTTAATCTTACAAAATCTATTGTTTGACAAATAGAGACAAATTACAAGTAAAAACTAAAATGGATGTCTGAGCCCGGGTTCGAACCGGGGACCTCTAGTGTGTGAGACTAGCGTGATAACCGACTACACCACCCAGACTGATTTGTCCATGTTTTCATATTTAATAGTATTTTACTAAATGTGATGCATGTAGACTTGTGAAAACAAAACATGAGCGATAGCCAAACGACAACCTACGAGGCTACAATTTAAAGGGCATTGCTTGCCGTTTAATATTATGATTTAATGATATATTTTTTTACTTAGGAAAGGAAACCTTGTTTAATATTGGTTGATGGCAAGTTTAAATGTATCTATTGATTATCGGAAATAATTTTACGAAAAGATTTAACTCGTCTACCAAATGATGTTCAGAAATATGAAAGAACAAGCTGAAAACCCATTTTAATTTCACAACAAGTGATAAGGACTCCAACGGTCCTAATAAAGCAATATTATTAAAAGACTCCAACAACCCAATTTCATCAAAATTTATTAAAATTTGATAATAAAGCAATATTATTGAACAAAAAATTATAACATTTATACATTTATAAAGATGTAAAGTGAGATTTTGTGTAGAGTATAAAGAGGATAACAAAAATGAAGCCGGAAAAAAATATTATGGTGTTGTACTAGTGAGCTTCTAGAGTTGGATAGTACAATGTTCTTCATCCATTACAATCCCAGTCCAATCTTTTTAGGATGATAATTTGGACGAGACTGAAGGCAACACAAGTCAAAAGGAATGAGATTTTGTAGCATGTTTGATTAAACAAATTGCTCGAAATGATTAAATAAAAGGGTCGAATATAATTGACTATATTTTACACACACAAACACAAATAATGCAACACAAACACAACCCATTAATTAATAATTTAATATGATCAAAGTTCTAGCTTGAACTCATCAATTCTAACCTCATGAGTTGGTAGAGGCCAACATCATATCATTAGGGCAGAAAGGGCCCTATATAATTATAATAGTGCACCGACAGAAAAACCGCAAAGAAATTGCTGCTCAGTTCGTTAAGAATATTTACCTTTGTTTTTAAGGGTCTTGAATTTGATTCTCCAATATTGCTTCTATAAAAATGAAATACATCATTTGATAGAATTGGGAAAGGGATCCTCTCCGGATTCCTTCCTCCTAATCCACAAAATCAAGGGATCCCGAACTTTGAAATTTTGATCCAACGGCTAAAGTTATTATAACTTTTAAAGTGGACCCCTATTTGTAGTTGTTGAATCAAATTTCAAAAGTCCGGATCCCTTGATTTGATGGACTAGGAGGAAGGGATCCCGAGAGAATCCCTTTTCCATAGAATTGTTCGCACTCCATTAAGTACTGAGTACCCGTCATGGCAATATCTTATCCAAAAACCCCAACACTAAGCAAGATACCGAAAAGGTTTTAAATATCAGCAAGCTCTTGCACGCTCAGATCCAAAGTTCATGAATTTGGGGATTGTGGTTGATTATAATGCCAAGTTATAATTATTACATATGTCTAATGTTAAATGAAAAATAAATAAATAAAAAAAATGGTGGATGTGAACGTTTTTTCAATACAAACGATTAGCACCTTAATTTATACTAGAAGAAAAGAGAATTTGAACCTGAGATACAGTAAGCTAAATCCAGCATTTGCTATAAATGCAAACATTTAAAAACTTATAAACCACACATTTTCACAAGTTATCATCAAACAGTTATTTTCATTAATTGATAGTACCCTTTTTTTTCTCATCATAGTACAACGACTGATAGTCGGTACCATGGTAGCTACACATGAACAATGACAATAATTCATCGTTCATATTTGTTACAATATATCGATATTTTTACACTAAAGAGAGGGAGAGTTCAGCTAAGCTATTTTAATTTCACACCAAGTGATAAAGATTAAAGACTCCAACGGTCATAATTACATTTTTTTTCTTCAGAGAATTGACAATTTCTTTCCAAAAAGGGTATGTGTGAGTGGACGAGAACTTAGAAAACAAAAACACAAAAACACAAAAAAAAAAAAAAAAAAAAGGATGAGGATCCTCTTTAGATCGTCTTTGTGAAGGTCTTAGGGATCCTCACATTTCATCCATTCATCGTATATCGTGTGACCATAAATTATTAGGTATTGTTTATGTTTAATTTTAAATAATAAAATTCAAAATGTTTTCTAACTGCACGATGCATGATGAACAGATACGATGAGAAGATCTCTAGAGATACTCACAAAGAGGGATGGGATCCAAATCCATCAAATTTTATTAAAATTTGACAATAAAGCAATATTATTGACGGAAAAAGTGTAACATTTATACATTTATCGAGGAGTGAAGTGAGATTTTATGTAGAGTATAAAGAGAATAACAAAAATGAAGCCGGAAAAATATTATGGTGATGTGCTAGAGAGCTTCTAGAGTTGAATAGTATAATATTCTTCATCCATTACAATCTCAGTCCAATCTTGTTAGGGTGATAATTTGGACGAGACCGAAGGCAACACAAGTCAAAAGGAATGAGAATTTTGTAGCATGTTTGAGTAAACACATTGCTCGAAATGATTAAATAAATGGGTCGAATATAATTCACTATATTTTACACACACAAACACAAATGATCCGATACCAACACAACCAATTAATTAATAATTGGCTAAATAGTCAAAAAGGTCCCTGAGATTTGCATAACACATCATTTTGGTCCCTAAAATTTCAAATCAATAGAAGTGGTCCCTGAGATTGTCCACCATCCATCATTTTGGTCATTCCGTCAAAAACTCCGTTACGTATTCCGTAGCTCTTGGCCGAAAGTTTGGGCAATTTTGAAAGCTTCATAACTCAATCGTTTCTTAACCAAATTCAACCCATAATATATCAAAATGAAGATAGGAAAGTGTAGAATAAGATTATACCTATTTGGAAGCCCAATGGTTGCCGAATATAGTCGGAAAATAGCCTCAAAGTTGACTGATCCGAGGGAAAACTAGAAAACTCGCCAGAAACTGGATAAAATTTAAACGTTCATAACTTCTTCAATACTCAACGAAATCAAATGATTCAAAAACAAAAATCATACTTCTCGACGATAAAAAGAGAATGGTACCTTTTTTGACGACTAAATTGCAGTGTTTTGGCTGGAAAACCGCTCGAAAGTGGCTAACTCGAGACCAAAACAGCCACTTTCCAGCCCTTTTTGGCCAAACCACGGTGATTTAGCCATAAAAAAAAGGTACCATTCTCTTTGTCTTGTCGAGAAGTATGATTTTTTTTTTTTTTGAATCACTTGATTTTGTTGAGTATTGAAGAAGTTATGAACGTTTAAAATTTACCCAGTTTCCAGCGAGTTTTCCAATTCTCCCTCGGACTAGCCAACTTTGAGGCTATTTTCCGGCCATCTCCAGCAACCATTGGCTTCCAAATAGGTATATTCTTATTCTAAACTTTTCTATCTTCATTTTGATATATTATGGTTCAAATTTGGTTAAGAAACGATTGAGTTACGAAGCTTTGAAAATTGCCCAAACTTTCGGGACACTTAACGGAGTTTTTAATGGAATGACCAAAATGATGGATGGTGGACAATCTCATGGACCACTTCTATTGATTTGAAATCTCAGGGACCATTTTGGCTATTTAACCTTAATATTTTAATATGATCAAGTCCTAGCTTGAACTCATCAATTCTAACCTCATGAGTTGGTAGAGGCCAACATCATATCATTAGAGCAGGAAGGGCCCTATATAATCATAATAGTGCCTCGGCAGAAAGACCGCAAAGAAATTGCAGCTCAGTTCATTAATTTACCTTTGTTTTTAAGGTTCTTGAATTTGATCTCCAGTATTGCTTTTATAAAAAAATACATCATTTGATAGAATTAGGAAATGGATCCTCTCCAGATCCATTCCTCCTAATCCACAAAATCAAGGGATCCCGACCTTTGAAATTTTGATCCAACGGCTAAAGTTATTGTAACTTTTAAAGTGAACCGCTATTTGTAGCTGTTTGATCAAATTTCAAAAGTCCGGATCCCTTGATTTGATGTACTAGGAAGAAGGGATCTGGGGATGATCTCTTTCCATAGAATTGCGCGCACTCCATTAAGTATTGAGTACTCGTAATGGCAATATCTTACCCAAAAACCCCAACACTAAGCAAGATACCAACAAGGTTTTAAATATCATCAAGCTCTTGCACGCTCATATCCAAAGTTAATGAATTTGGGGATTGTGGTTGATTATCATGCCAAGTTATAATTATTACATAAATCTAACAAAATTTATTGTTTTACAAATAGAGACAAATTAGAAGTAAAAACTAAAATGGATGTCTGAGCCCATGTTCGAACCGGGGACCTCTAGTGTGTGAGACTAGCGTGATAACCGACTACACCACCCATGTTTTCATATTTAATATTATTTTACTAAGTGTGATGCATGTAGACTTATGAAAACAAAACATGAGCGATAGCCAAACGACAACCTACGAGGCTACAATTTAAAGGGCATTGCTCGCCATTTAATATTATGATTTAATGATATATTTTTTTACTCAGGAAAGAAAACCTTGTTTAATATTTGTTGATGGTGAGTTTAAATGTATCTATTGATTATCGGAAATGATTTTATGAAAAGATTTGACTCATCAACCAAATGATGTTCGGAAATATGAAAGAACAAGCTGAAAACCCATTTTAATTTCACACCAAGTGATAAGGACTCCAACGGTCCTAATAAACCAATAAAGCAATATTATTAAAAGACTCCAACAACCCAATTCCATCAAAATTTATTAAAATTTGATAATAAAGCAATATTATTGAACAAAAAAAATTAAAACATTTATAATTTATAAAGGTGTAAAGTGAGATTTTGTGTAGAGTATAAAGAGGATAACAAAAATGAAGCCGGAAAAAAAACATTAGGGTGTTGTACTAGTTAGCTTCTAGAGTTGGATAGTACAATGTTCTTCATCCATTACAATGGACTAGGATTCTCTCTTAATCTAAGGATGAGGATCCTCATGACCAAGGGATGTGGGCCGTTGGATGAAAATTCAACGGCTACAAACAGAGGAGTCCCTTTAAAGTTATAATAATTATAACCGTTGGATTTTCATCCAACGATCCACATCCCTTGGTCATGAAGATCCTCATCCTTAGATTAGGAGAGGATCTTGATCCCATTACAATCCCAGTCCAATCTTTTTAGGATGATAATTTGGACGAGACTGAAGGCAACACAAGTCAAAAGGAATGAGAATTTGGTGGCATGTTTGAGTAAACACATTGCTGGAAATGATTAAATAAATGGGTCAAATATAATTGACTATATTTTACACACACAAACACAAATAATGCAACACAAACACAACCCATTAATTAATAATTTAATATGATCAAAGTTCTAGCTTGAACTCATCAATTCTAACCTCATGAGTTGGTAGAGGCCAACATCATATCATTAGGGCAGAAAAGGCCCTATATAATTATAATAGTGCACCGACAGAAAGACCGTAAAGAAATTGCCGCTTAGTTCGTTAAGAATATTTACCTTTGTTTTTAAGGGTCTTGAATTTGATTCTCCAGTATTGCTTCTATAAAAATCAAATACATCATTTGATAGAGTTGGGAAAGGGATCCTCTCTGGATCCCTTGCTCCTAATCCACAAAATCAAGGGATCCCGACCTTTGAAATTTTGATCCAACGGTTAAAGTTATTATAACTTTTAAGGTGGACCGCTATTTGTAGCCGTTTGATCAAATTTCAAAAGTCTGAATTCTTTGATTTGATGTACTAGGAGAAAGGGATCTGGAGATGATCTCTTTCCATAGAATTGTACACACTCCATTAAATGCTGAGTACCCGTCATGGCAATATCTTACCCAAAAACCCCAACACTAAGCAAGATACCAAAAAGGTTTTTTTTTTTTTTTTTGAACACCAAAAGGTTTTAAATATCAACAAGCTCTTGCACACTCAGATCCAAAGTTCATGAATTTGGAGATTGTGGTTGATTATAATGCCAAGTTATAATTATTACATATGTCTACTGTTAAATGAAAAATAAATAAATAAATTGGTGGATGCGAACGTTTTTTCAATACAAACGATTAGTACTTTAATTTATACTAGAAGAAAAGAGAATTTAAACCTGAGATGTAGTGAGCTAAATCCAGCATTTGCTATAGATGCAAACATTTAAAAACTTATAAACCACACATTTTCACAAGTTATCATCAAACAGTTATTTTTATTAATTGATACTTGAGAGTACCCTTATTTTTCAACAATGACTGATAGTCGGTACCATGGTAGCTGCACATGAACAATGACAATGAGTTCATCATCCATATTTATTACAATATAATTAAGATTTCTTCACGATCTCAGAAGATCAGTGATGGTATTTAGCATTGAGGGATGGGAACGCCGCAAGCAGAAGCAAGTTTTCTGGCGTTGGGGCTGGTGACGTATGTCCTGAGGGCTGGGTTCTTAATGTACCCGCAGAGGCAAGGCCTCTGCTCCCTCAGCTTCTGGCAGCAAGTGCCTGAAGGGGCTGACCCTGACCTTATTGGCCCCATGCATGGGCTCAACTCCACCGGACTGCATGTCACTGCCTCCGTCGTCCCCGCCACTTCGCAAAGCACCACCGCCACCGCCACCACCAAACACAACACCAAACTGCGCGATGACAACTTCATCGTCTTAGTAAAGTAGATTTAGAGAGAGAGAGAGAGAGAGAGAGAGAGAGAGAGAGAGAGAGAGAGAGAGTGTGTGTGTGTGTGTGTCTGTGTACGGTGCACTTGGGCAAGTTCCCTCGGTGCGTATTTATAGGAGGGAGTAGGCAACATGGTGGTGGGTGGCAAAGACTTATGTTACAGCTACTTTATTAAAACGACTACGTGATCACCTTCATAAATATACTTTTGCCAACCAACTCCTGAACTTGACGAGTATATTGACAATTTTTTAACAAAATAATGAAAATAATTTACGAGAGACAAATTCAGAGACCAAAATTTTATCGATTTCAGTGTCAGAAGCTAAAATGAGGACTTATGCCGGTTTCAAAAAAAAATTTAATTGGCTAAAAAGCCAAAAATAAAGTAAAAATACTTTATGTCTATTCTAATACTTTATATCTATTCTCTCAGCTGGATTGAAAGATACGTTAGTTTTGTTGACATGGTACGGGTTCACCTTGATCTATTCTCTCAACTAGTTTGGACGTTTTTTTGTTTTTTTTTTTTCTCTCGGTAGTGAACTCCCTGAGAACCATTAGGACATGCAGTATTACTTAGGACTGCTAAACTTTTCAAACGAATAAAATAATATCTGAAAATCATATCAAGATATCACGCACCATGTGAATTGCGATGACAATGTTAAAACTAAAAGCAGCAGTTTATAAAAGTGAACAAGGGAAACTTGAATTGAAATAAAATGTGAGTAACTGCTCATCCGAACTCACACTGGTAGATTCATTTGGTTGAGGGTCGACTTCATTGAAGCTGAATAATCAAAGAATTTATCCTACAGAGCAGAGTTGGAAAGAAATTTGGTGAAACGCACCCTTGAAGACCATATCCCAACCCAATTGGTCTGCTGACAGAGAATTTAGGAACGCAGAAGCAAATACATACATATATATGCTTGATGGAGCATAACTATCTCACAATGCAACATGCAGCAGCCTCATATGCCGCACTAAAATATAAAAGGAATTCTTTTCTACCAACAAAGATATATTAAGCTGGTTCTTTTACATATCATAATGTCCTTCTCAATGTGTTCTCGAGCATTATCCCACATCCTCAGCTTTATGTAAACGTTTCCAAGGTTGTGATGGAGCCTGCTGCGCCCAGCATCGTCTTCCATTACCTCCTCTTCGTCACAAATCTCTAATCCTTTAGTGAAGACTTTCCAAGCCTCTTCCCAATTGTCAAGATCAAATTCAAGCATTCCTATATTGTTATGGGCATCAATATATTCCTCAACGAAAGAATTATTACAAGGTGGGTTCTCCTTGATCATCTGTGCAAGCTTCATAGCGGACTTGAAATACTTTATGGCATTCCGAATCGAGCAATGTTCATCAATAGACCTTAAAAACATTTCATGGTAGGTACGACCTAGTTGGGTATTGGCCCTTTGCTGCTCAACAAGATTATTTTCATCCTCAGCGAGCTGTAAATGTTTTTTCTGCAACGAAAAGAGGTGAAGTCTCAAATTTTTTCTTCTCCAAAAGAACAAATCAGACAACTATTCCATCATAAACAAAATAAGAGACGCTAAAGAATTTAATTCCCTTGTTAAGACTACACTGAGGACAGAACCATATGAAAATCCCAAACAACAAACCGAAAAACTTGAACTCAGCAATTATAGGTACTAAGCAGATCAATGGGTCATCATCCCTTTCACCTTCATGCATTTTCTCACTAACCAAACAGATACATTTTCTCACTAACAAAACATCTCCACTCAGCTCAACATTTTTTAATCAAATTAAGACGTGGGATACTGATTCACCCGAGTCTTCCCCAAATTTCTCAGCGACCAACCAGAAAACTTTCCCATTGCCAATACATTCTTAATACCAAAATAAACATAAATTCCCAGGGAAAAAAGGACTCCAATCGAATTGAAATTCACACGAATCGAACCCAATCGAGAAAATACCTGATAAATAAGAGCCTCTTTGAAGCACTCGAGGCGAAGATAGAGCTCGCCGAGGGACTGACAGGTGGGTAGGCAATGCTTTTGGGGCAAGTACTTGACAGAGACATCGTAGTCGATTCGGAGCCACTGGAGGGCCGCCACGTACTCCCCTCTCTTCTTCAACATGTCGCCGATTGCGTTTGCCCACCGGGCCTCCTCCTCGTGGTTCCCCACCGCCTTCGCATTCCCGTATGACTTCTTCGCCGCCGTCAGCTGCGCGTGCTCCCGAGGCATTTCGTTTCTCTAATTCGTCGGAGGGATTCAGAAAGATCGGAATGTATGTGTGTTTGAGTGTATATATATATATATATATAAATATAATATATATGTGAGATTCTGACGTTTTGGCTTTTGGAATTGGAAATTTCAGATGGATGGCACAACTCCCGCCAAAAGAAAATCTATGTGGGCCGGGCCAGATTTTTTTTATTGTTTTGGTACATTGGATCGGAAGGGCTACTGCCCAAAAAGGAAACTGCAAAAATGAACAAATGGACCATTGGGAGGCGAAAATTCTCGACGTGAACGGTAATATACTAATATTGCAATCGAATATCAATGGTATTATCGATGTTTTAACTGAATATCATATATTATTGTGAATATAATGTTAGCATGTTTGAGTAAACACATTGCTCGAAATGATTAAATAAATGGGTCGAATACAATTGACTATATTTTACACACACAAACATTAGTGATGCAACACAAACACAACCCATTAATTAATAATTTAATATGATCAAAGTCCTAGCTTGAACTCATCAATTCTAACCTCATGAGTTTGTAGAGGCCAACATCATACCATAAGGGCAGAAAGGGCCCTATATACTCATAATAATATCTTGGCAGAAAGATCGCAAAGAAATTACCGCTCAGTTCGTTAAGAATATTTACCTTTATTTTTAAGGGTCTTGAATTTGATTCTCCAGTATTGCTTCTATAAAAATCAAATACATCATTTGATAGAATTGGGAAAGGGATCCTCTCCGGATCATCTGCTCCTAATCCACAAAATCAAGGGATCCCAACCTTTGAAATTTTGATCCAACGGTTGAAGTTATTATAACTTTTAAAGTGGACCGCTATTTGTAACCGTTTGATTAAATTTCAAAAGTCCAGATCCCTTGATTTGATGTACTAGGAGGAAGGGATATGGAGATGATCCATTTCCATAGAATTGTGCGCACTCCATTAAGGACTGAGTACCCATCATGGCAATATCTTACCCAAAAACCCCAACACTAAGCAAGATACCAAAGAGGTTTTAAATATCAGCAAGCTCTTGCACGCGCAGATCCAAAGTTCATGAATTTGGGGATTGTGGTTGATTATCATGCCAAGTTATAATTATTACATATGTCTAATGTTAAATGAAAAATAAATAAATAAATAAAATGGTGGATGCGAACGTTTTTTCAATACAAACGATTAGTACCTTAATTTATACTAGAAGAAAAGAGAACTTGAATCTGAGATATAGTAAGCTAAATCCAGCATTTGCTATAGATGCAAACATTTAAAAACTTATAAACCACACATTTTCACAAGTTATCATCAAAAAGTTATTTTCATTAATTGATACTTGAGAGTACCATTGTTTTTCTCATCATAGAACAATGACTGATAGTCAGTACCATGGTAGCTACACATGAACAATGACAATGAGTTCATCATCCATATTTATTACAATATAACTAAGATTTCTTCACGATCTTAGAAGATCAGTGATGGTATTTAGCATTGAGGGGTGGGAACGCCGCAGGCAGAAGCAAGTTTTCTGGCGTTGGGGCTGGTGACGTATGTCCTAAGGGCTGGGTTCTTGATGTAGCCGCAGAGGCAAGGCCTCTGCTCCCTCAGCTTCTGGCAGCAAGTGCCTGAAGGGGCTGACCCTGACCTTATTGGCCCCAAGCATGGGCTCAACTCCACCGGACTGCATGTCACTGCCTCCGCCGTCCCCGCCACTTCGCAAAGCACCACCGCCACCGCCAAACACAACACCAAACTGCGCGATGACAGCTTCATCGTCTTAGTAAAGTGGATTTAGAGAGAGAGAGAGTGAGAGAGAGAGAGAGAGAGAGAGAAGAACTGTATGTGGTGCACTTGGGCAAGTACCCTCGGTGCGTATTTATAGGAGTGAGTAGGCAACGCGGTGGTGGGTGGGAAAGACTCATGTTACGGCTACTTTTCCCAAACTACTACGTGACCACCTTCGTAAAGATATTTTTGCCAACCAACTCTTCTGCTTGACGAGAATATTGATAATTTTTTCATAGAGTAATGAAAATAATTTACGATAGATAAATTCAGAGACCAAAATTTTATCGATTTCAATCATGAACTAAAATGAGAACTTATGTCAGTTTCAGAAATCATTTTAATTGACTAAAAAGCCAAAAATAAAGTAAAAATACTTTGTCTATTCTAATATTTTATGTCTATTCTCTCAACTGGATTGAAGGATACGTTAGTTTTGTTGACATAGTATGGGTTCTCCTTGATCTTTTCAACTCGTTTTCACATTTGAGACCTGAAACCAGAAGAATCACCCTAGCATAAAAAAAAAAAAAAAGAATAAAAACTCAAAAAAAAGAAGAAAAAAAAAACCCAAATTCCTATTGATTATCGGAGATGATTTTGGAACAGGATTGACTTGTTGACCAAATGATGTCCAGGATTATGAAAGAACAAGCTCAAGTCCATCTTAATTTCACACCAAGTGATAAAGACTCCAACGGTCATAATTACATTTTTTTTTTCTGGAGAATTGACCCAAAGTTGTCCTAATTCATTGTAATATCAAAATCCATTAAAGTAGTGATATCTAAATGCATAAAAAATGACCATAAAGCAATATTATTAATGAAAGAAAGTATAACGTTAAAGCATATATGAAGGCGTCGAGTGAGACTTTGTGAAGAGTATAAAACAATTTAAAACATGAAGCCGAAAAAATATTATGTTGTTCTACTATTGAGCTTCTAGAGTTTGATAGTATAATGTTCTTCATCCATTACAATCTTAGTCCAATCTTGTTAAGATCACAATTTTGGACGAGATTAAAGGTAACACAACTCAAAATGAAGAAGAATTTTGTAGCATGTTGATTAAACCGTTGCTCGAAATTATTAAATAAATGGGTCGAAATATAATTGACCGTATTTTACACACACACAAATGATGTGACACAAACAAAGCCTTTAATATGATCAAGTCTCAGATGTCTAACCTCATGAGTTGATAGCGGCCAACATCATATCATTAGGGCAGACATTGCGCTATATATGATCATAATAATGCCTCATGCACGGTAGAAAAACCGCAAAGAAATTACAGCTCAGTTCGCTAAAAGCATTCACCCTTCCGTTTATAAGGGTCTCGAATTTTTCTGGCGTTAAGGCTGGTGACGTAGGTCCTGAGGGCTCGAATTTTGTAGCATAATGTTCTTCAAATATTTTTCTGGTGTTGGGGCTGGTGACGTAGGAAAGACCGATTTTATTATGTGAATTCAGCTGATTTGATTGGATTGTGAGAGGTTTTTTTTTTTTTCTAGCATGATCTAAGATTATTCATTTACTTCAAATATTTGACTTTCCTTTTGTCAATTCATGCATATAAATACATATAAAATATATAGGTTGCGCATAACACGTTGTGATTCAAAAAATACCTTTTGCATGCGCGTGAGCGTGTACATAAAGGCTAGTGTGTATATATATAGTAGGCAATGCTGTGGTGGATGGGAAAGACTCTTGTCATGGCTACTTTTTCCATTTTTGTTTTTGGTGTATATATATATATATATATATATAGTTGGCAACGCCCTGGTAGATGGGATATATATATATAGTACGCAACGCCCTGGTGGATGGAAAAGACTTTTGTCATGACTACTATTTCCATTTTTGTTTTTGGTGTGTGTCTGTGTGTGTGTGTCTATATATATATATATATATATAGTCGGCAATGCCGTGGTGGATGGAAAAGACTCTTGTCATGACTACTTTTTACATTTTTGTTTTTGCTATTGATGTAAGACGCACGCAGTTTGCATTTCTCTTAAGCTTTTTTTTTCCGAAACGCTGTAACTTTTTTGTCTACCATGCTTGAACTCTACACATAATTTTTATATTTTGTTTTATCTATCTTTTCTCTCTTATACTCATATTTCATCTTACTTTTCTCATACTAGTGTTGAATCCTTCATCTTCTCTTCAATAGTAAATAAATTTAAAAAAATTAAAGGCCTTTTGTTAAAAATTGTCTCTGAAATTGGTATAACTCCTCATTTTGATAATTGACAATGAAAATTAATATAATTAGTCTGTGAGTTTGTCTACTATAAATTATTTTGGTTATTTCGTGAAAATATGTCGTTATCGTCGTTAAATTGTCACGTGAACGGTCACATGACCACTTTTTAGTCATTGACATAACTTCTCACATTCGTCCTTGACAATGAAAATTAATAGAATTAGTCCGTTAGTTTGTCACTTATAAATTATTTTGATCATTTTGTGAAAAATTTGTTATTATCGTCGTTAAATTGTAACATGAACGACCACATGACCACTTTTTAGGGATATTTTGGTCAAACTAACCTCTTCACTTGACGAGAATATTGACAGATTTTTTATAATAACGAAAATAATTTACACTGGAGAAACTTTTGCCAATTTGAAAAACCATTTCGACTAAAAAGCTAAAAATAAAATAAAAATACTTCGTGTCTATTCTGTCAACTGAATGAAAAATGCATTAGTTTGCTGACATAGTACGGGTTCTCCACTGAAACCATAACTGACAAAAAAAGAAGACATGAAACCATAAGAATCACCTTAGCACAAAAAAGAGAGCAAAAACTCATGCAAAAAATTAACCCAAATTCCTTCATTGAGAAACCCCAAGTAGCTCTCTATAATTAAACTACACGATTCTCTCAATGTGAGAAGAATAGAGTATGGAAGTAAAGTTAGATTTCGTATAGAATACAAATGACATAATAAGTGATATTATACCTTAAAACTAATTGTGGAGAAAAATTTGAGCTCATTGTAGTTGAGATAACATTCACTCTAGTAAATTTAGGCTGCGCTCACGTATCTGTGTTAAACGAATTGTAAAAAGATCATCCAAATTTTGTAACATGTGTACAATTATTATTATTTAACCTCTAAATATCTAACGATAAACCCGAAAATTTAGTAGAAATTTATAAAATTACACAAGAACAATTGCTATTACTCAAGAACCAAAATACAACTCAATATCTTCAACATACTTTGCTCTGGGACAAAGCAAAATGTATAAACTGTTACAGGCTAAAGATTCGAACTAACTTCCCAACAATTATTACACATGGACCAATAAACTCATATCACAAATCATGACATGGTAAGAGCTTAATAGCATCCTAACAATAATTGACCATTAAATGATAATTACATTAAGTAAACGTATGCTAAGGCCTGGTTTGGTATTGAGGTGATTTTGAAAAAAACTGGTATAAAAAAAAGCTCGGAGCTGTTTTTGTGTTTGGTAAACATTCAGCTTTAGTTTTTTTTCACAGTTTTGGGTGAAAAAAAAAGCCAAAAACAAGAAGCTGCAAAATCCAGCTTTGAAAAACCGTTTTTTTTTCACATTTGTTTTACATAAAAGTTTATCAAACACTATAACACTGTTTTTTTTTTCTTTTCAAAGCACTTTTACAAAGAAGTTTACCCAACACTCTGCTGCTTTATTTCACAGCTGCTTATTCTCACAAAACAGCAGAAACTATTTTTTTTTCAAAGCACAACAATACCAAACCAGCCCTAAGTCCTACCATTAAAATTGATAACAAAATAGTTTCAAGAACTCGTACATATTCACACCTTGATCCTTCAATTGCATTGCATCATGTGTTTCCACCAATTTTCGAAACTAGTCATGGGGTCCCCACCTTGCATTGAATAACTGAATCCCACTGGTAATATGGGGACTATATTCCACAAGAAGAGATGATGAGTCATGGAAATTGCAAAGGAAAATGTAGACTAGTCAAAAAAGAGTCCTTAAATCGCTGCGAATTTGATTCTTTAAAACACCAGACAAAACCGTGTCACATGATTATCCCTTGAAACGAAAACGTCAAACTGATCTTTATCGTGGATAAAGCTTGTGAACTTTGTTTACTTCTCTTTCCGCATTCGTGTCGGCGTCGGATTCATCATCGATGAAACTTAACTTTAAAACTTTTCACGTACAAGTGAAGAGTAGTATTTCTATATCTCAATACGAAGTTGCGAGACTAAAGTAGATACTCTCTATATTAATAGAAATGCTCTATACTTTAAAAGGCTTCTAAATTTTGATGAGGATTAGACTAAATCACTAAATATGACAAGGGAGAACGAAATGTTTCCTAACTATATTTTTGCGGAATTAATTGGATCACTAAATATTTTTGCGCAATGGAGAAGGAATATTTCCCAACTGTATGATTATGAGATGATTGATTGGGACACCAAGTATAGAAAAAGTTGGTGCGTCTGAGTCGAAAACAACTTAGCATTATCTCGAGAAAGTGGATTTACAAAATACTGAGTCGAATACCAAAATTTTCCACGCAATAAAAAGTCAAGAGAAAATATACTATATATATAATTAGCATAGAAAAGTCCTCCACCTAACATTCATAACAAGGGAACGAAGTATTCAATGATACGGGAATAAATCGCTAAAACAATTGTAGAAATCAAATCTAACAACTAAAACACTCATAACACTGCATGATACGTAGCATTCAAGTCACACTCCATAATAAGTTTAAACTAAAGAATGTAGGATAATTATTAGGGTCTATAATTTATTAAACAGAGTACCATCAAATCACGTACATATTGTTTACACCCAGTACAATTTAAACTGCCTATAAGAAGCAAGAAAGAAAAGAAAACAGACTCTTTTTTGGACTTTACTCGGAAGCAAATCCACCGTCCATCCAATCATGTCGGATTCGAAATTCGGGGATCCAGTCTAATCTGCCAAATAATCAAATCCGATCCATTCCACCCGATCCAAATGGAATTAGACCGGATCAAACTGGTCGATTTGAGCACATTGAAACGGATCTTCAACACCCGTATCAGCACTAATATATAGAACCAATACTGAAATATATCAAGGAGATGATGTAAAGATCAAGTTGTCCGATATAAAGCCGGTTTACATAACGGCCAGCAATGGCGGAGAGGTCACAATGAAGACGTAATGAAACTATCGATTAAATTCAATTGGTTGATCAATCTAATAAGTTCTGCACTCTAAAACCAGAATCACAAAAATGCAGCACAATATTGCTCTTCCTTTCTTCAAACCCTTTTTACGACAAGTAGACCAAAAAATGAAAAAAATGTTTGTATTAACTGGACGATCTTCACCTGAGACAGCGAGACGCGAAATAAAACTCTTGCCACCCCCTTCCAGAAACAAATCACATTTTATTGGTTCTGAGTTTCCTCTGGTCCCTTTGCTTTGCCTCTCAGCATGTCAGTGAAATTTCCCCGCATGATTCGCCTTAATCTAGTGTCTTCTGCAGGTGGTAATGGTGCAGCCTTCGGGGACTCAACCAGCTCTGGTGGTGGCTCAGGACTTTCTTTCTTTCCCAGTAGACCACCTTCACCAAAGAAACTACTCACAGACGATGCAAGCCCAGCCCCCATCACCTTACTGATAGTGTCGAAAGTTCCACCAGATCTGTCCTTCATTACAATTTCAAGGGCTTCTTTGTGTGCAGGGTCAAGCGCATCAGTGTCTCTCAACAAGTTCTGTATCACAGGCATAAGGAAGTCCCGAATACTTGTTGCTGAAATATCTGGATTCATTACATACATTTGAAACTCAATATCAGTAACACATTAGAATGCGCTGAAAAAACTGAAACATATGGCTGCAAATATAAACTAAGCTGACAATGGATTTAACATAATCGTAGTCCATCGGTTTAACATAATAGTGAGTCATCAAAAGTCTTTGCACAGATTGCAAACCAGTTAAGAATGCTAGGAAACTACAGTTTGGCATGGTGGGAATTGTTAGGGCACCAACAAAATAATAGTTTCTAAACGTGATTGTAAACCTCCAACGAAGATCAGTCAAAGTGAAAACTGATATGATCTAAGGGTATTGACTCAAACATCTTGTTTTTACATAAACACATGATTTCCAGCGTGTAAGCTCAAAAACTTAGAAGAACTAGTGAACCGTGTATCATAATAAACATTATAGTAGTTTAATATTGATGTTTGTTCGCATGTTAAAGAAGCATAACATCGTTGAGAGTAAAACTAAAAATAAAAATGCATGTGATTCCCTTTGACAAAATGCATAATGTATATTAATTCTGAAAATAATTTGCATAAACAAACCAAATTTCTTTAACATGTTCCAAAGAAGTGGACACAAGTGTCATGTTCAACATTATACGAAGGAAGCAAATGATAATGTTGCTCAAGGTGTGTAAGGGCACATAAACTGAAGAAAAATTAATAAAATAACTATAAATAGAACATTTGGGTCCTAAAAAAAAGAAAACCTGTTGCATCCAGAGCACGGATTGCTTCACAAAATGCATTGGCTCTCTCACGCCGCCGCATCAAGTCACTTGAAGGTGGAGTGGCTGTCAGTTGAAAAATCTTGGATAAAAGATGTACATCATGTCAAAGAAACAAAGTAACCCAATGACTATTCAATAATGAATCCACTAGAACATTGCCCAACGAACTAAATAATGTGTGTGCGCTTATTAACACGTTGATGAAAATGTGCTAATAGTAATTTATTGAGTAAACATGTAGAGGATATAATCTTTAAGTCGATCTGTTGTATGTGGTACAGCAACCACCAATGCACGAACCACGGCAATGGTAGCTTCATGAGATCCATCCTCAAGAAAAGCATCCATTTGAACACGTATCTTATCAACAATCTGGGAGGTTTAAATTTGGTCAGCCAGATGTATGAAAATTATTCAATTAAGATAGCTAATATCTTAATTGCAGAAGGAAGAAAATTCATACCATGTCATTTTTAAAATGTTGGGCCACTGCTCCAAAGGCATCTATGCTTGCATACTTCACACTCAGGTTTTGGTCAGAGCCCAGAGTAACTAGGGCAGGCAATATATGAGTTGATGCAACTTTTGCATCAATATATGGAACCTATAAACGAAAGGAAACAATTAATTATTGCTTAATGTCTGACACATAAAGAACATAGGACTCCAAGAATGGCAAAACTCACAATGACTTTCAACAGATTGGCAGCATTTATTTTCATATCTATGTTCGAGCTGACAACCATTTCCCAGAGTAAATTAAATATCATACCGTGATGATCTTCAAATGTGCTGCATTATGAAAAGCCCTTCAGTCAAAATTGAGTTATGAAAAAGTTAGTCGTAAAGAGTATTTATTGCTTTACTAACCAAAGGAAGCGAACAGCATCAACAATCTCAGCATTGCACTTCGTAGATTGATTTGCAACACCTTCAACTAATAGCTTTCTCAGGTACTCCAGTAATTGTTCATGCTTGCTTGGACCACCCAAAACACCAGCCAAGAGAAGAGGTAGGACACACATAGTAGCCAATCTCCTAGCCACAGCCGTTCTTGGCCTCAAACCTGTTATGTATTGTAGATAATATCCACAATTAAGAGCACAACCACATTGGTGTGAAAGGATTTCACATAACTTTAAAGTTATTACCTTTGATTCCGGAATGGGTTGCAGATGGAAAAAATGTCAATTCAGCATCTTCCCCAACGGCTACCAAGAATACAGGCAGCATTATGTGTGTCAAATAAGAATCCCCATAGAGTTCTGATACAGCCAACAGAAACTGCATTACCAACAATTAGATTAGAAACAACTAATAAAAGTATTGTTGATGATGTAATATAAAAATGACACCAAAGATAGAGAAAGATACCTTGGTAATTTGGTTTCGCAAATTATCCTCTTTTGGAGGTAACAAGCATGCGAGTTGTATTAAAGCAGGAAAGCAGTCAACATGCAGCCACTCAAATGCAGGCAATTGAACATGTCCACTATCGAGATAACAAAATGCTCATAAGCAGTTATAGTAAATCAAAATTTAACAATATCACTATCTCAAGACAAAAGTTAAACAGAAAATAGTTGACAGACCTGAAAAAAAATATATAAGAAAGTAAAATAAAAAAGGAAAAATGAGAATAGAGCTTACCCTGCATACAATTCAAGGAAAGATTTGGAAAATATTGTTCCAGTTGTTTCAGGATCAGAAGAAACTGGGCACATCTGAATTGCTTTCTGGTGCACATAAGGAAGAATTTCCACAAGCATTCGTAGTAAAACATCAACATTCCAGCGTTCTCGTTCACCTAAAACACGAAGATGTGACTCCACAGAACCTTCAACGCCCGAAAGAGGAGGACAGCGCTGCAATGTCACAAGGACGCAAATTAAAGAGTATTATTAGAGAGACCTTAGTCATAAGTGGAAAATATATTTAAACACAAACTGACCTGAACAGAACTTGATATATGAGAGAGTAGAACTCTTAAGATATGGTCTAATTTGTTTCCCCACTTGTTTACTGCAGGAACTAATTGCTTAAGCGTTGTTTCCACCACCACTCCAGAGGGATCACAGACCAATTGGAACATCAAGTCCTCGACCTATAAATAAAAAAGTACAGTAAAATATTGGAGAAAAATATCCTTGCCTACTTTATACATTTATTTGTTGTCAGTCATCATATTATGAGGACAAAATTCTCCATTCCCTAGACCATGTGGCATCAACCTGTTCTAGAGCTTACATTGTAGCCATTTCTGTCAAGTCAGAATTCCTCTCCATGAGAGCCTCTGAAGCATATTAGTGAGGCTGACCTTGTAATATTTGTCCATGTTCGGGAAGAGTGGAAGCAGCAATGCAAGATTATGTGCAGCAGCCTCGCGGACAATAGTTGCAGAATCTTCTATGAGTTGTTGAACAATGGACAATATAAGAGAATCACGAATCTCAGGACGGACAAATTCTGCAAGCTCTCCACATGATTGAGCAACTAGCAGCCTGCGTTCCTCATACATGTGATTTATCTGCAACCCACAAACCGGAGAAACATAAGAAAAACTTATCAGAAATACTAAAAGGTTAGAGAGGATCCTCTCAAGATGGGGCTCAAACTTACTTGTTCCCAACACTGGGGAAGCAATTCTGTTTCTGTTCTCATCTCTCCTACATCCTTAGCAAGGGTAACACATGCCTGAAATGCAGTTAAAATATTCAGGAACAAGTCCAAAGCACTGCAGCTAGTTACAAATAATGTAGTACTTTAAATATTAGCCTCACATCCATTATAATTCTTCTCTGCTGCTCATCTGGGCGTTTGATTAGATTAAACAATGTGTGGGTTAAGGAATCCCGAGTGCTGCTATCTGGATGGCGTTCAATCGCACACATGATTAGGGGAAGAAGCTCCTGTGAATACATAACCAATAAAAAAAATATAAATATGTCCTTCTGTTAAAGGATCCATTTAAAGGTCCATATGTAGAAAACTTAATATAGAATACGGTGTACATACATACAATAGATAATAATATAGATATACATTATATATACGCATACATAAAATATATATGTACATATGTTTATTAGGAAAAAGTAAAAGAAGCAAACCTCCCGATGGTTGATCAAAACATAAGGAACAATCTTTGGCAAAGCATCAGCAAGGATCTGAATGGTCTCTAAGCCCTGTAAAATATAAGCATAACTTTAGAAAATGAATAGAAGGGAAAGGCAGGGTTCCAAAGCTTCCAAAATATCATTCTATGTTCTATTACTGAAAATTTGATGGGTCATGGGTGTCCCATCCAAAATGAAAAGAAAAAGAAGCGTGCCAGGGTAGATATGAAAAGAAGAGCCAACCCTGGAAGAAGAAAAACATTTCTGATCCGGTCCGCCTATAAAGGCTTTGATGCAATAAAAGAAATGTAAAAGAAACTTGCCCTTTTCTCAGAAACATTTTCAGGACTAGGATTCTCTGACGTTAAATGTAGGCTGCTGCCTGTTGATGGTTCGCCATTTTGTTTGGAGATGCTATCACCATTCACCAAGTTACTGCTATCACTTAAAACACTGACGGAGACCTCATGTGAAACTTCCTTCGGTTTAACTGTGTTATCATGAAAAGTTGAGCAGCCAGAGACTGATCTTCTTCTTTTCCACAACTCTCGATTCCACATCAACTGGTGGGATTACACTTTTATCTTCATCCACGACAACGACCTTTTCTTCCATTTGCACAGACTCTTTTCCAAAATTGGTGGAATCTGAATAATCATGAGCTTTTGTGTTTTTGGATTTAAAACTTTCTAGTTCCATCTGTAGTGATTTAATTTCTTCCTTGTATTTTTCCAAGGATAGAGGTTGGATTTGATCAGTATCAGCAGCTACCATATTCCGTCCAGAACGATATCCTTCAATGTGCATTTTCAATGCAGTGACTTCAGCTCTGCAATCATTAAGCTCCTTTCTCTGGTGTTCCAAGGACTTCTTCAGATCTTGTACCTGAAATGAAGGGTTTATTATTTTCTTACGTATGAATATTCATTAGATAGCATCTTAATGCAGTGTAGTAAAGAGACTTACAAGGTTTTCTTTGTCTTTAAGATCCTTCTGAAGAGCTTCCATTGATTTGATTAGTGTACTTATTTGGCCTTCAGCCAAATCTTTGTTTTTAAGTAAGGATAGCTTTTCAAGATATAGACTCTCCTTTTCTTTCGATAAAGAATCATTTTCTTGGAGCATGGAAATTTTCTCCTGAATATAGCAAAGTATTTATTTTGAGTTGAGAAAAAGAAAAAGGAAAAACCCTACATAGCAGTTGAACTTGCAAAGTTTCAATAATTAACTAATTAACTGCAAGTCTTAAAACTTGACATCAAGACAATCTAGGTATTTAAGTCAAAACAGTATGCATCCACAACAAGTGTTGTTGCAGAGGAAGTAGAAACCTATTGAGAAATAAATTAAGAGCAAAACTTGATGAAAATTTCGCAACCCACAGATATACAGATAGATATGCTTGAGCCATGGTTTTAGAGGAAAAAAAATAGCAAACTTAAATAACAAATGCGTTCAGCACATCAGAAAGTAAAAGAGATGGGTTTAGTTGTGGTTGAGTTAGCTCAGACTTCCAAAGTGCTAAACATGGATTACTAGATAGACGTAGCAACAGCCAGCAACTAATGAAGCATTAATTTCAGATGAAGTTAATTTCCAATGGCTAAGACTATTTGTGCTACACAGCTACCCAAGTAATAAACATATAACAAACATGCTACAGGACACAGGCCACGACCACAAAAGCAGAAGCAAGTGAAAAGCTTTGAATCCCTTGTCTAACAAGGTCGGGGAAAGCATGGCAAAAGACATTCTGTATATGGAACTTCAGAAACTTGCCAACATCACATATTCTGGGAAGTACCTCAGCAGCCTCTGTAGTGGATGAAAGATACTGATAATAATAATGGCGCAGTGCATCTGGCACACATGCGGGTGAGTTCTTCCAAACGTCTAGATTCTGATCTGTGACCTGCGGAGAATGTATTGACAGGTTATTAGAATATTAAAAAGATTAGTCAAAACAGGGTATGATAATATACCAAGATTTGCCACACAAAGAAAGTGACAATAGCACCACATTCACCTGATGCAAAGGTTTAGAAACCTAGTGGGCCTTCCAAGAGATCAACCTAGTACAATAGTTCCTAAAAGTTGTTCAATGCTACGTATTACTGCAATCGAACAGCAATCCCAATCTTGTAAAACATCTTTCTTTTCTTTATTTTAAATATTTGTTTTCCTCAAACCATTTTCTTTCTTTTGGTGATAAAACAAATTAAGCCTGCTGTTGTTACAATGTTAGAAAGCTACCATTACTTAAATAACAAGTAAGTCAAACTAACATTAAACAACTCATCGGCAGGGAAATTCAACCATGAGCACAACAGGGTTCTTCACCCACAAAACTAGTTTTAAGCTTGACTAATCAACATAAAAACAAAAAACAGAATAACTTGTTTTTTGGTCTGACGATATTTGAGAGCGGAGTAAGGAAATACAAAGAAAGATTAAGGTATACTAGTTACTCATCATCCTTCCGCCAATAAGAGGGATAGAGAAGGTATTACACCAAGTGATCAGTAAGGATATTACTAGTTACTAGTCATCTTCTATATGGATTTGTTCTTTTATAAGAGTTGCATCATCTTTTTGGTGGCCCTCTTGTTATAGTACACTACATTTGTTGAATATTTGTAATAAATTTTATTTCTTATAGAATTAAAAATTATACCGATTGAAGTGTGGAAGGTCTTGGGAGAGATGGGTATAGCATGACCCATAAAACTTTTCAATAAGATTTTGAAAATGAAGAAGATGCCAAATGAGTGGCGAAAAAGCACTCTGGTGCCTATTTACAAAAACAAAGGCGACATACAAAATTGCATGAATTATATGGGTATTAAGTTAATGAGTCATACTATGAAGGTTTGGGAGAGTATAATTGAGCATAGACTGAGGCAAGGGACTTGGGTCTTAGAGAATGAATTCGGGTTCATGTCATGACGCTCGACGATGGAGACATTATATCTCTTACGAATATTGATGGAACGTTTTAGAGATATGCAAAAGGATTTGCTCATGGTCTTTATAGATTTGGAAAAAGCGTATGATAGGGTCCCAAGATAAATTCTTTGGAGGATTCTAAAGAAGAGAGGAGTTCGAGTGGCATATATCCAAGCAATAAAGGATATGTATGATGAAGCAAAGATTGTAGTATGAACTCATGAAGGACAAACTGAAAGCTTTCCCATAACCATAGGGTTACACCAAAGGCTCAGCTTTAAGTCCTTACCTTTTGACATTGGTAATGGACGAGTTAACTGGACATATTCAAAATGATATCCCTTAGTGTATGCTTTTCGCAGATGATATAGTACTGACAGATGAAACGCAGGGGGAGTAAAGAAGCTTAACCTTTGGTGGGAAGTGTTGGAATCTAAAGGTCTTCGCATAAATAGGTCAAGAACAGAGTATATGGAGTGCAAGTACCAAGGAGTAAATGCTTTCGTTATCTTGGATCTATCTTGCAAAAGAATGGAGAATTAAATGGAGATCTCAACCATATAATACAAGCTGGATGGATGAAGTGGAAAAGTGCATTAGGTGTGTTGTGCGAAAGTCGTATGCCACTAAAGCTCAAGAGAAAATTTTATAGGACGGCAATAAGACCAGCAATGTTTTATGGCATGGAATGTTAGGTAGTCAAAAAGTAACATGAGCAAAAAACGAGTGTAGCGGAGATGAGAATGCTTTGTTGAAATAGGATTAAGAACGAGCATATCCGAGGTAAAGTAGGAGTGGCCGCAATTGAAGATAAGATGAGACAAAATCGATTAACGTGGTTTGGACACTTGAACCTAAGACCTACAGATGCTCCAGTTAGAAAATGTGATTATGAGATGGAGGCTTAAGGAAAAAGGGGTAGAGACTTTGAAAGAGACTTTAATAATAATATGGAGTACTTGGAGTTAACGGGGAAGACTTGGTGCAAAATCGAGCACAATGGCATTTAGGATTCAAACAGCCGACCCCACTTAGTAGGATAAGGCTTGGTGGTGGTTGTTGTTGTATAGAATTAAAAATTAAAAGTCATCTCCAACACTCTCAAAGCCCCCATATCAATTTGTAGGTGATGGATTTGTGACACATGTTTGAAGCAAAACTTCTAATGTTTGGATGGAAACGTTCCCCTAAAGAATGGCTAGAAATATAATTTACTCACTTTTGATATAAAATTTTAAACTTTCCAACATCACTTGCCTTCAAACTGGTTGAATTCATGTGTCGCCCTGACGGTGTTTCATAGCTCTCCCTAATGATGGGCTGTAAAACACAAAATAAAATAATCTCTAGACAGGAGTATCAATAACCCAACAAACCACAAACTCAACCAAACACCTAGCAAAAAGAAATTCTAACTAAGATAGAATTCTAATTACAACATAATTTTACACTGCATATACATAAAATCTAGTAAATATTGTTAAGACGTGTTGTGTAGTTACCCTAGCAAGACTTGTTTACAATCCAGTACGATTAATCTGCTGTTGGAGGTTGAATCCAATAAACAGTAGGTAAGCCACAGAAACGAAAGGACTCGTCCTTTCACATATAAAAATACTGGGGAAAAACAAGGAAAGAAGAGAAACACACAAAGATAGATGCAAGAAGAGAAAAAGACAAGCATTCATGGTGATCCATACCTCCTCAAAAAACGTCATTGCAGTGAGCCGGTACCCCTGCTATAAGCAAATATTCTTTTACTGCACAATTAAGATCTCTGCGTTCGTTGTCCTTCAATGGACCCAAATCAGAAAAGGAAACATCTCTCTTTTGCCGCTGAAATTCTGGTCCATTATTTACGGAAACATTGGCATTTGAATCTGAATACAAATATGAGCAGAAAGTCATGGAACAGAAACATTTGCAGTTTACTAGTAAAGGAGTATATTGCATATATTGTGAATCTCGAATTTTCCACTGTTTACAGGTGAAATACTGATTCCTGAAAATATAAATGCAATGAACAGTAACAAGAAGACGAAAAAGTGGTGGAAGTCTCCAGCAATGGCATTCATTTGTTAGAAGGTTTTCTACAAATCTGAATTCCAGTACATCTAGGAACAGGCACGGACGGAAAGAAAACCAAGGTTTTATGGGGCTGTATAGTTTCAGCTATCTTTTGGGCTATTTGGATGGAAGAAACAGGCTGATTCTTTAGGACTACGAAGTAAGTATAAGGGACAATCTTTGGGATAAAGTTTGGTTATGGTTATCTCTGTGGGCATCAGTTACTACAGAATTTAGAGATTTGTCTTTTTCAGAAATTTGGTGTAATTGGAATGCTGCTATTAGTTAGTTTTGTGATGTTTTCGTAGTTCCTAAGTGTCAGGGTGATGTTGCTATTTATCCTGTTTTGTTTGTGCTTTTGCAGACTTCTTGTCCGCTCTTGTATTTTTATTGTTTCTTTGCATAAAAATTTGTTTCTTCTTCAAAACAAAGGAACAGGCATGGATGTCAATATCCAGTATGACAAAACCAACAAAGCTTGCCTCGTTATTTTACCTAATAACATCACTATAGATGTGCCTATGGCATTATGGTCGCACTTTATGACAAGATATTGCAGAGATTTAATAACCAAACTACATGAAAATACAAAGTTACTTAATACAAAGTTCTGCAGCAAACAATATCACAGTGACTACCGTTCTAAAAGATATATCAGACTAGAAGCTAAAACAAGCATAAGAATAGAATTTGAAGTTCTGGAAAGAAGGGAAACTTACCTCTCAATTCATTTGAAGGTGATTCTGCTTTCTTCTGCAATTCGGCCTTCAGTTTTGAAATGTCCTCTTGGGCTAAGCGAAGCTCATATTCACTAATTGCTAATTTTTCTTCTACTGCTTCTTTCTCCTCTAGCAAACATTGAGGGTCTGCAACTGCATTCCAAAAATCAAAGCAGTAGAAAAATAAAACATTAGTAATGTTCCAATAGAAAATATTAGTAACAAGATTAAAGAGGTACAAGAAGTTTTCTTTTCAAGCTTCAATCATCACCTCATGAGGCAGAGACATAAACCATTTGTAAATCAGTTCTATCACTTTACTGAGAAAGTTCAACTGAAGTTATATTTAGTTAGCTCAGCTTTCTGTTTAGTGGGCTCATTAGGCTTTCTTGCCCCCACCCCCCTACACACACACTCAGTCAATCACCACTACCAGAAACGCCCTTTGTAGTTGCACTTAGAAGCCGCAACATACAATACAAATGGAATTCCTTCCCTTGGCTAGTATTTTTTTTCCCTTTTCATTATAAACAAAAATCAGTTAGGGGTTGGGTTGGTAATGGTAACCTCATTAAGAAAAAAGCATACTAGGATTTTTTTAGTTCAGTTTTTCGAACTGACAATCAAGATCAAGCCCGTTGCACTATTTTGACAAGCTTATTTTCCCGAAACTTCAGGTTTTAATGAATGAACCAAAATTTATACAGAAAAGGCAACCAATGAAGCAAACATAGTTCCACTTATCAGAAAACACAACTAAAGAAGGCTATACAGAACTCCAGAACAAAGCCATCAAGAAACTGATATTCAGATCTCGCACCTGGCAGCCGAAAGCACATGCAATACAGTTATGCACCCACCACATACTCACACTTTTGGTTGCGTTCTCTAAATATGCCAAGTAACTCGTCCGCAGAAAGTAACATTTTCACAAAATTGACATATTGCTAAACTAATTTCTTTCTCAATTCAGGCTAATTCCTAGAATAAACCAGTGTTTTCTTCCAACCAACTGCATTTCTGCCTATAGCCTATCGCCTATCGCCCATCCTTTACATAGTGCTTCTATCTGATGGTTGAGGTAGCCCATTTGGGCAGATAATTAAAAGCATTTCAAACACTTTTGAGTTCTGTAACTAGTTTCAAATATAACTTGCCCCTCAAACAAACAAAATGTCATTCAACTTTCGCTATAATTGCCATCAACAACGATGTTTTGAATGCGAAAATTTTCAGTTATCATTAGCAAGAAGCCGCTAAGGAGACGAAGGATCATTCAAAATTAGGCAAAGTAAACGATCACGAGCGCGCCATTTTGATGCCATTAACAATGCCAAAGAAAACAGAGTAGAAACCAAAATTCCAAATCTATTAGCTCAACACATCCCCGCATTTTCTTAGAAACCAAACAGAATTAACGAAGATTTAAAATCAACCGAATTCAAACAGATTCAGAAGAGGCGAGTGTGAATTGATATTACGAACCTCGGAGAGAGTTGAAGCGAGAGATCTGATCGGAGGGGAATTGAGAGGAGTCGGCGAAGAAGTCCTTGAGTCGAATGGCCTGGTCATCTCTGCCATCGTCGAGCAGCTCGTGGAGTAGCTCGAACGCTGTGAGCAGGTAGTTCTCCTCGAGCAGAAAATTCACGACGCAATTGCACAACGACGACCTCTCCACGTCCATCGGAGCTCACAACCTCCGAACTTTATCGCGACGCCATTGAAGAACCAGAGAACCAAAGCAGATCTCTCTCTGTCTTTCTCTTATCGCGGCGTATGTTCTTCAGGAGCTCCTGTGGATCGAGTCGTTGAGTTGTGAGAGAGAGAGAGAGGGGAAGGACCGAGGGAAGGACCGAGGTAACGTGGGCGATTGGGTGCGACGCATCATTCTTTTCATCCGTGTTCTCTTGTCTTTTAAACCGTCGATGTGATGCTTGTTGGTTGTGTAGATCTGCTGACCACACTTTTCATTAGTACGTTCACCACGTGTATTTTGCATGGAAAACTGGAGTGGTGAACCACTGAGAAGGTCAACAATTGACTTTTTTTTTTTATTTTTTTTTTAATACATCTATATTTTTACAGTAGGAGATAGAAGAATTTGGCTAAATCATACAATAGACAACCTAATTCGGTATCTAAATCACCATCCACGAGAATTGAACCTAAAACCTTTCACTTCCAAGTGAACATAAATACTCCCAATCCACAATACTGAGTGGCAACTGTTATTTAATTTGAAAACTGTAATCTTAACCTCAAATTAAATTACAATTTTCGCACCTAGTATTGTTTTGAAAAGCCACCATGTGGCTTATGCCAAATTTCTCTATCTCTAAATATAAAATATATCGTTATATTTAAGAAAAACAACTTTGCAACCTTGCTGCTTTTGTGCTAAAACCAATTATGAGAACGTTCCTTGTAATTCTTTATTTCTTATAATTGGTTTAATCTTTTAAATCAAACCATTTCATTCATTGTTGCAAATCTCTTTTGATGAAGCAATATAGGCAAAAGCTAGCTTCAATGGTATAGGCAATTGAGTATGTAAATTTTGCATGCTCTCCCAAAGTGGTAATGTTACTTATTGTAGAATTATCAGAGAGATGGGCCGAAGGCCCACCTTTAACAACATCGATATTGTCCCCAACTTGGTAATTACCACCTACCTAATCCGTCAAGTGTGATGTTTTATCATAAATACCTCGATATTAGTTGAAGTGGAATTAGAATATTTAACTCTTCTTTTCTCATAGATACAGTTGATGTGGAACATTTCAACACGCCCCTCACGTGGAACCCAATTAGTGGGTCACATGTGGGAGATCCACACAGTGACAACCACGTAGAGCTAGTGGGACTCACCCAACACACAGGGCCAAAGGACCCACCATCATCATAGCAGTCAAGGAGACACACCCATCACATGGTAGTATAGCACGGGCCTGCTCTTTGTCTTTAATACCATGTAGAATTATCAGATAGACGGACCGAAGGTTCACCTCCAACAATACTGATGTTGTCCCCAACTTGGTAATTACCACATGTCCAATTCTTCAAGTGTGGGGTTTTATCATAAAAGACCTCGGTAGTAGTTGGACTGGGTATTTAAACTTTTATTTTCTCATAGATACGATCGATGTGAGACATTTTAACACTTACTACACCACGAGTAGGCAAATCAAGCCCCACATCTCTTTTATTCATAACAAAATATTTTTTGTGGAAAAAGATGACAAATCTAAAAGATAAAAGTAGATGTTATCGATGAAAGAAAACAATTGAATATAAATTTGACTACTAGGTTTAACTAATCCATTTTAGTGATAAACTTTTTTTATGAGTCAATTGAGTAAGCAACATGTAAAACCCCACCCTCGTTTTATTTAAAAACAAAAAGGCCCACCCCTTTATTTGGGTCCCTCGACCCCAATCTCTCTTTATCATCTCATTCTTTCTCTTTTCCCTAACTCTCTCCTATTTACCCATGCTCTCTCTCCTTCTGCTCGAGTACCACACCCACGCACCCACCACCACAACCACCTTATCACTTCGGCGAGCACACCCTCAAGCAACCATCATTCTAGGTCCTAAACTAAGCAAGGAAAACTCTTCTTCTCCTTCACATAGCATGACATAGTTACTGTGCATCCATTTCTGACGATGTATTGTCGTCCCCTGCGAAGGTGAGCTTCAAAACTCCTTCTATCTTCCTCCCCCGTAGGCTAGATCACTTTATTGACGATTAAAAGTGACTTCGATGAAGGTTTGGACGTGAAAACAGATTGTGAAGTTTCCCCCATATTTTCCAGCGAGAACCCGGCCCTTGCAGGTATTTTCCAGCCGACTTCAGCCATTACTTGCCTCGAAATTGGTATAGATCTCTTCCTTGCTTCATGGACTTCATTTTGGTTTACGTGAAATGGTTATGTTTTGAGCTTTGTCGGAGCTAGGGAAGTCCCCGACTTTGTTCTGGCTTTTCTCTTCCTTTAGGTCTGGTGACCTATGTGTTAGACTCAGGCCAGGTTTTCAAGCCCAAAGCCCCAAGGAGCCGAGGCCTTTTGGGCCATGCAAAGAGGGCCTAAGGCCCGTGAAACCCCTAAACCTTTTACCTAGAAACCTAAACCCAACCTAATTTCCTAATTCTAGAACCCAACCTAAAACCATAAGCGAACTAAGGCCCTTGGGCCGTGTGAAGCTTGGACCCAAGCTCAAAAACCCTAGGACCCTTCGGCCCAAACCCTCCAGCCCATCAGACGGAATATTCCTGGAATATTTTAAGGAATATTCCCCTGTTGACTTTTGTTGACTTTTTGAAAATTTAACTAGGACCTTTCTTAGGGTAATTCAACGTCCTAAATCTATTTTTTTGACATCCGTTTTCCCAAATTCAATTGTTATAATAGAGTTTTATTAATTGGACCCTTTATGTGCGTAGGTGCATATATCGTGGCATCTCCACCTTCGCTAGTTCTCGCGGCTCTTCGGCGGCGAAGTATCTATGAGTGGACCCCTTCTAAAATGCATGTTTTAGTAGTAGAAATACATACATGAAAAGCATGATTTACTATGTTTTGTGAACTTTTTATGAGAAATTGGTTATCATGCTATACTGTGCTTATTTCGAAATACCATTTTTTCTATCAAAACCATGTTCTTGTAAGGTATTTGATGGATGACGATATATTATTTAGAACATGTTTTCACACACTTCTTTATAGTATAGATGATGGATGACTTTATACTATGAAGATGCTTTTGATATATACGTATTTGGAAAGATTATTTTCAGTGGTTTTGTGCATATCTAGTGGTCCCTATTATTGACATTCGGGTTGGGTGCTGTAGGAGCCTTCAAGCGATTGATACATATATTGACCTTCGCGTTGGATGCTGTAAGAGCCTTCGGGTGATTGATACTTATATTGACCTTCGGGTTAGGTGCTGTAGGAGCCTACGGACGATTGATACTTATATTAACCTTCGGGTTGGATGCTGTAGGAGCTTGCAGGCAATTGATATTTGTGAAGGAAGTGTTCTGAAAGAAGAGTTATGTGTTTTGCCTTTGGGTGATCGTGATACCACTAGTTAGCACACTATATACAAGATACGTTTTATGAAAGGTTTTATGGCATGCTAGGGTTTTCGGAAAAAACATACTATATATTGTGCTATTAGTTTTCATAAAACTTGGTCCACTCAAGTTTGTTTTGCGCCCTCATCAGGGCTAAGAATTGAGGCTTACAATCCCGGCGTCAAGACACTTCCGCATCAGCATCTTTGAGTCCTCTTGGTGTAAGACTCACTCCTTTATTCATTAACTTTTACATTACTTTCCTTTTAGTGTTCTAGATTAATGTATGCTTTGAACATGTTCCTCATTTGTATATTAATTATATTTAAATTTCTATTATTCTTATTCATATTTTTTTAGTTCTCAGCATTTGCACTCAACAAATGGCTTTTGTCACCCTTGGGTGTTAACCAACACGTACCTACCCTGGTGTTCGGAGAATATCGGGGTCGGGGTGTGTTAGATTGGTATCAGAGCCTAGTTTGTTTAGAGTATACATAGGATCTTCTGTTACTGTAGTAGTGCGTCTGTCATGACATCATTTGGATGTCACGACTTCCGGATTTGCTGTTATTTGGCACGGTTGTGCAATCCTCATCACGTTATGAATTGTCACATCCTATTCAAGAAGAAGAAACTCATGTTGGGATTGTGCCTCAGAGGTGACGAATTGGATCGTTGAACGACTTTCAACATCAGATCGATACTCTGCAACATGCGTTCCTTAGGAATTGCAGGCAGAGTTGGTTTTACATTGAAGTGACGTGAATAAGGAAACTCAGTAAAAGGAAATCTGGTTAGGACCAGCTAAAGATCCGAGATGGCAATGCCACTTTGCGACATGCGTTTCCTTAAAATTGCGGGCAAAGTTGGATCGACTTATAAGTGTTTGGAAAACAGAAAGTTTTTAATGGTATGAGTTGTTTAAGACCAATTAGAGACTTGAATTGGTGATGTCACTCTGTGACATGCATTCTCTAGGAATGGTGGGCGGAGTCACATCTATTTGACAATTATTCGGAACATTCGAAGTTCATGTTGGAGAAAGGGAATGGATGCTAGTTGTTACGAGGATTAGTAAGTGGCAGTTTGGTGGGATCGAACTAATGTCCTCGGACTTGTTCCCACTGAGTAAATTCGTGTGGATCTTTAGAATAATTCTCGGCAATTGTTCTATCGATTACCTCATTGCTTACTTCAACGACGAAGTCAAGTTCACTGACCTTTGACCGTCAGCTTCACACCAAATCCTTCGAGCGTTGACTTCGTCTAGAGATTATACTTTTCTTGGGAAACTCCTCGGCAGCAGACGCTATTCTCACCAATTTCCCCAAAATGAGTTGAGATTCTTGTTGTTGTTGTAGTTGGACTTGGATGATGAAGATCTAGTCTTGTTTGGATAAACAAACTCCTTGAACTTCACCTGGGTCTGGTACTCGGCGGTAAACCCTAGCTCATTGTCAAGTACTTTTTGGTAGAGGTGAACTTAGCCTCTTGCTTGTAGCCCAACTGACAAGTGTTATTGTCTACTAACTATTCAGCCTTGTAATTTTCTGTGTAATTTAAGACTCCACCATATTCATCATTGTACGAAGATTGAGCTTTGCTCTGAACTTCTCTAGACTCATAGAGCTTTGGTTTGCTCAAGGGCATCACTCTAAGGTAGCCAATCGAGCCACTGCATGCATATGTAGGCTGTTTTGTATCTTTTTTCTTCGT